ATTTTCCATTTGTCACATAAATGAAACGGAGTAACGTTTTCTTACTTCCGCCCGTCCTTAACTCGGTCACATATCACGCCGTAAGTGAAAGGTTGAGAGAAAGTAAAACAATAAAATTCAACTGCAAAGTAAATAAGTACGGCAAAAAAGTATAAAAAGTTTTACAACGCGTTTGAACTTTGCTCGCGCTTTGTAGGCGAAGGAGAAAGTCAAATTGAAAACAGGGCAGTACTTTCTCCTCCCAAAGTTGCATAAGAGGAAGTCACTCTAAATAATGGGGTCACAAAATTGTAAATATCCTACAATTTAAAAATCCAAATTTAGCTAAACATAAGTAGTCAATGGGGGGAGGGAATAGCTTTCATGGGAAAATTGTACTTTACAAATTTAGACCAGCGGTTCCGGATCTTGGCATTGTAATCAGCTATTATTCTTTGCAATAATAATATATATATAATGTGGAACTTATTCAAATTAGTATGTTGAAAATTTAATTGAAAGTAGTTTCTGCTTTTGAAACTAAAACTCAAAAGTTTATAATTTTGTATCGATTATCAGACGGACGGATTACTCGGGTACACAAGCTCATAAATAATGAGTATCAAACTAATTATATAATGTATAAAGTTTTCCGAAATATTTAACTATATTTCGTCGATCTGACTGAAGTCAGTGTATAAAAATTGATTTTGAGCAAATTTGATAACGCGGAAATCCAATCATGTTACAAATCGTTGTCGAATTCGATTCGGTTTAAGTTTGAGCAGCTTTTAGCCTCTATTAGTCAATTACATGGAGTTTATGCTTATAAGAGACTTTTGTCCACTTTTATCCACTGGCCATTGATTTTGGTGGATGGATAAAATTGGCTTTTATCCGCTTTTATCCACCGGGTGGATAAAAGTGGTTTTATCCATCCGAAACCCTGATTAAGAAGCAAAATGACTCACTCACATTCCTTATAAGAAAGAATAACTAAATATGTATATACATACATATAAATGTGCAATATATTAAATGTACTTACAATATTATGCATGTAAATCTGGAGAAGGTGCAAAAAGAAATACTGAAATTTGATCTACTTTAACAATAAAACTAAACTGTATACGACGACATGGCATAAGTATTTAGTTAACATTTATTCGACTTGAATTTCATAATTGTAATATATTTTAATTCAAGTTTTCTTATTTAATAGTCATGCCAGTTTGTGGAGTCAGTATATAATTGCAACAGTATTAATTCAATTCTCACATTTAAAAATTGTATGTAAATAGTATTAATTGAAATCTGCCCTATCATTACTAATTACTATTCAGTCACTAAAAAAATATGGACCAAAAAATCTGAAAAGTTAGAAGATGAGTTCTAGTAATCCGGATAAAGTAGGTCCGAGAGGTTCTTCTTATTACGAAATAAAATTCTTAAAAGTGGTCATTTAAATCTGTCATTTAACGTTTTTTAAAAAAATAGTGACTTTTACTCAATATTTTTTGCCAACAAAAAGTAACCTAGCCATAAAATAATTGCACTGCATCAAATTTTTCCTAACTTTTTTTCTGCTTTGTTTCTACTTTTAAGAAATTAAAGCACTGATCGAGATAAAATTTTCAAATCTCTTTCTCAAATAAATTAATACTTTCAATTTTTCTCAATTTAGAGGAAGAAAGCCTAATTTTATCAGTATACGTATATAAAATTATCAATTTTTCTGTGAAAGCTGATATCATGCAGTTAATTAATCCCTTACTACATATTTCCTCCCAATTTAACTTTTACATCAATTCAGCACCCAATAAAGTGAAATACAACTAAATATGTAACTAAATACGTGATTGAGACCATATAGTGCGTGCAATGGATTTATTTGACCACGTATACATTTTGAGTTGTATTTTATATCCTGAAGAAAAAGGACCATATCAGTTTATGTAGCAGCATTTAATTGAAAGTTCCCAATTAGGGTAAAGAGAAAAACAACCACTTACGGAGTTGCAGAGTCATGGGATAGTTAAGTTAATTATCTAGAAATCTGAATTTTTAGTATATTATTCCAAATATATCCGTCTCCTTATCCTGAAAATTTCATAAATTTCCAATGGAAAATAAATTTCCTACGAGAGTTCAAAGCGATGAACTCGCGAAACGAGTTATGCATATGTATAAAAATGTCTTCGACAACGACGCAAACAAAACCTGACTACATTTTAAGGAAGAGGGGTGTGTCCTCACAACAATTAGCACATACATAAAAAAGTATGGGGAATCCGAAAATGTCACCCTCAAATAATCGTCGGGTCGAAAACCTACCATAGGAACCCCTCGAAAGTTAAAATCGGTTGAATTTTTTTTGCAAATCATCCATCTACGTTTGTGTCTGATGCGGCCAAGAAATTTAAAATAAATGCAAACTATTTGCAAAAAATTAAAGCTCATAAATTAGTGATTCAAGTACATACCAAAAAACCCGCAGCACAGCATGCCCAACTTGAAGAAAAAACCATAACCGCAAAACTGCGCAAGCTCGTCAACAAAATCTTGCGAAAAATTTTGATCACCAACGACGAGTACTACGTCCTTCAAACCCCACCAGAAACTCCAGGAAAGTTATTTTTCCATGCCAATGACCGTTCTGAAGTGGAAACCGAAGACAAAATACAAATTTCTTAAAAATTTCTGAAATATCTGATTTGATAGGCGCTGTATCAATTTGGCAATGTTTCGGAGCCTTACGTTGACGATGGGTGCATGAACTCGGAAATTTATTTGAAGCAATGTGTGATATGCTGTCTTATTCCCATCATCACGGAGAATCAAAAAATAGAAAATATAATTTTTTGACTCGACCTTGCTACCACCTACTATGCAAGAACTGTCAAGGAAGAAATCGAAAAAAAATTCGGTTTGGTGAGGAAAAATGAAAACCCCCTAAACTTCTCCCATCTTAGTCCAATACGCAAATTTTGGACTTTATGCAACAAGAAACACTCCCAGCTTCATGATAACATTGATACTTTAAGAAAATTTCGGAACAGGTTGAAGAAAATCAGCAGTGAAGTTGGAAAATCTTCCGGGAAAGCACAAATGAAACATGTGAAGCAAAACATTAAATACGAAGTGGACAATGGATTGAAGTCTTCTTTGTTCGCGGATACCTAATGGTAGATATATTTGTAATATTATATAAAAGTTTGGGATTTTAAAAATCATTTTTTCCCAATTTTTAGGCCCAATTTCCCCATAAGTGGTTGTTTGTCCCTTTACCCTACTTATTTCCATTCAATAATACAAAACGTACATGATTTCTCGATGTAAAAAAACGCTACAAATTCTAGTCTTGAGTTAACCTGTAAATTCATCTTCATCTTTCTTTAATAGATGCGACTTTGCATGATACAACTCAATATTTGGATAATTATCTTAACAATCTTCACACGCACTATACCAAGATCAAGTCTCAATTGGATACATAGTTGTAAATATACATTATTTGTTTATACTTAATAGATGTAAAAGTTAAATTGGATTGGAAGGAAGCAGTAAGGAACTAATTAACTGCGTGATAACAGCTTTCACAGAAAAATTGACAATTTTACTTATAAAATTAGTTTTTCTCCCTCGAAAATTACGCAAAAATTAATACCATCAATTTATTTGCAAAAGAGATTTAAAAATTGTATAAGTAAATATGTATCCCGATCATTACTCTAATTAAGGAATTAATTATTAAAAATAGAAATCTAAATAGGATAAACTTGATTTACTACTTGTGACTTGTTCCTATTTCTGGTACAATAAAATTATTAATTGCAGCTTGACTAGGTTATAAAATGCATTTAGGTGCAGTGTTAATTGATTTCTAGAAGTCGCGACAAAAATTGTAACTTTTCACTATTCATTTTTTTTACACATGTCTACACATATGTGCAAAAAATATGCATATCCTACCATTTATACATATGCGTATGTGCAAAATATCACGTAACACTGACCATCATTTGCATATACACATAACGTAGACTAGTCTCCTCCTAAAAAGCAGACAGATTAAGTTTTTCTCAGAAACAAATCATGTTTTGCTTCAATACGCCGCGCAAGCTGTGGGGACATTAACATTGTCATATAATGTGCAAATTGGTGTTTGAAGGGGGAGGATTCAAACTATAAAATTTCTTTAGGGGGCATTACCCCTAACCCCCCCCCAAAAAAATGCACTTATTTCGCTGCCACTGTTTCCTTCTAACTACACACAATGTATGTAATAACTAATAAATACATACCCAATATTTTATCACTGTCAAAGTCATGGTCTTCTTGACACTTTCTTTCTCGACATAATCTTCTCAACCAATTAGGGAACAGTGCATGCATGCATCTTCATCTTTCTGAGAATCTTCTTCTTTAATACTGCACGAATGCAATAATTTCATTGAAATGCCACCATCACCACCGTTGTATATATGATCACTTAATAATTGGACAATTTAGAGAATAAATTGATACATTTTTTTACACACACAATATTCACTCCACCTACAGAAAGAGGTGAAAGGATATTTAACATTAATATAAATATTTGTTAATAAAAAAATTGATAAGATCACTACATACGCCACGTCATGGGGTCATTTCGTCCCTGATATTTGTTTAGAGAGGAAGTCATGGTTGTTACTTAGGTCAATGTCACTCGACCCCAGGCCTCACAGAAATTGACATTTTGGCGACGTTTTTTTAATTAAAGGAAACAATTTTTTATTTCCGGAATAAAAAAATGAAGGGTCATAATACCAGGGAGGGTTGCAAGCTGACATTATTTTTCTATATTCTCATCCTGATTGGGATAAATGGTAAAAAATTTATGTATACTTTTTTCGAAATCGAAATGGATCCAGAAATTGGCCAGATTTTTGCACAATTTTATTTGCAGAGTCTCAATCAGCCTCGCTACACAAAACGACGGAGCAGGTTACCGACGCCATTTTGAGAAATGGTGAGATTTCTCCGAAACCTAAAATTTCGATAGGACACTACAACCAGGAGGATAGCGAACCTTTGAGGAAAGATAAGGTAAAAATGGTACTTGAAAAGGATAAGGAACTAGAAGTGGAGGAAAGTGAGGGAGAGTCATCTCCCCAAAATGGCGACATAGTCGACAATCTGCTGTTGGGGGACGGAAACTTATCGCGGCGAGAGGCTCGCCTCATAATTGGAGCGTTGGATAAGAAAACATGTTTCGCCAAAGTCCTCTGCGGTTTGGGGGGTAAAGAGCCGACCAAAAATACAGATCTAATCAACGACTATGCCTACCTTATCGGAGAACTTGTGGTGTAAGATGTGGCAAAATTTACAAAAAATATGCAAATTTCCAACTTATTCCTGTACATTCTAGAAACTCTGAAGAAGACACGGGTAAAACAAAACCCTCAATTTTCGGCGATTTTTGGGACGAATTTGGTGCCCTCAAGGAACAACAAGACCTCGAATACGATGACGACGACATTGACATAGAATCTCACGAAGATGATCGGAGGAGATCCGGCCTAACTTCCGGTGATGGAGTAGTACATAACAACTACGTTCACCTAGTCCCATTCCAATATCGTCACGTTCCCCGTCCCCGCATATTTTTTCATCGTCTCAGTCGACAATTGAGTCAAGGGAGGCAGTGTCGCCAACTCAGAGAGAGGAACGCTTGTCCCTACAATGATACCCAGATGGGACAAATTGTCTCTAAATTGAGACAAATTATTAGAGGGGAAGACATTCTGGGGACACTTGCTCAGGTAATGCACATACATACTAAATAAATACTCTTTAAAAAAATTGAGCCATTATTTTTCCCGAATTTTAATCAATTTTTCTCTGTATTTATAAAAACCACAGGGAGCCACGAATCTAATGGGGCTTGGCGGCGGAAATACCGCAGCCCAAACGACTCAGTCCATGTCGCCCGGAGGAAAAATGAATCTCATCATCAATCTCCACCAAAATGTCACATCCCCTCCGCAAATGCAGCAACAGTCGGTCAGTCAGAAAACAAAATTGCAAGTAAAATTTCAATATAAAAAATATTTGCCAATTTTTTTAGGCCGGATTTGCCGCAGTTCCACTCAAATCGTTCTACAATCGAGGCACTTTATCGTCATCGCTTTCAATGTCTAACGAAACTTCAATGTCCGAAGCAAATCTTGTAGAACGTCAAGAATCGTCACAATTCGATCCGTTCGTCCTCCTCCCGTTAGTTGCAAAAACTACGCCGCCACCCCCCACCTCCTCCCCGCCCCCACCAATCGATCCGTTGCAACAACTCGTCGGATTTCTGTACTCGGTCGGATACGTGAACAATTCTACAGGTCCGAGTAAGGATAAAGTTTCTCCGTTTCCTCCGTTTCCTGCAGAAATTACGGACGAAGATGACTCCGAAGAAGAGAAAAAGGCTAAAGTTTCATTGTCATCTTCCTCCCCGAAAAAAGTTGAGGAGGAAGAGGACGACGCGGAGGATGACGAATCAGATGAAGGGTCGTCGAGAAACGGGTTGAAATCGGGTAAATCTGAAACTATTAAGATAACCAGACATATCGAGGGATGTAATAATTACGTTAGTAAGTGTCGGTAGAAGTCGGGGGGAATATATGGGGACATTAGTATTATGGAGGGAGGATTAATTAATTAAGTTTCATGAGAAAGATAAGATTCTTCTTTTCTGGGGAACAATGGCCCCCCTTCTTCCGTCGCCAATGGGTGGATTCAGTTCTCAGTAAATTAAGTTATCAAATAATACGCACACTTTCCTCCCAAACAGGTATTCCCCATAGAAAGAAGAAATTCTCAAAAAATTTCGCCCCCTTGAGAAAAAATGAGGCTGACTTTATCCGAATCAAATCTTCTCAACGGACCGGACGCTTTCACCACCATTCCGTCAGAAGAGATGACGATGACCCAGGGGTAGCGTCCCGGCCCCAGTTTTACGGAGGAATAGTGCCACCCCCACACCCAGAAATGCCCATATTGTTTCGAGCTTTTAGATTTTTCTCGACCATGCTTCGAGGTGGCCCGATGGGATGATGGCTTAGTGATAATTTTCGAGAGAATCACCTAGAAATAAATTATTGTATAGATGTAGTATTAATTTTGTAAAATTTCTATCTCATTTCGTAAATTATTGTAAAATATAAAAAAACGTACAAACTAATCCGAATTACATTAAAATGTTCAAAAAAAGTAACTAAATTTTTAGCCCGAGCTTATGAAACCATCGTGCCAGTCTTTCTGTCTAACAAAAATTTTAAATATAAAGATCGAAGAGGGTATAATCCTTACTTGGTAAGGATGTAGTCCACGTTAACTTTTAATTGGTACAAAATAATCGGGTATTTTTATGAAATAATATGTATGTGCAATCCAAACTTTGCTCGGGCTATACACTCAGAGAAAAACTGACACCAAACTGACACCACACGGTGTCTATATATGACTCTACCGGTTTGGTGTCAATTTGACACGGGTTGGTGAGAAAAATGAGCAACACCGTTACGGTGAGAATGCAACATAATTTAGTGACAGCAGCAACACCGAGTTGGTGAGCAATTTTTGACACCGAATTGTGTTCAAATCAACACGGTTTGCATACTAACTTAACACCGCCACGAACATTGTGATGACACTATTTGGTGAAAATAATGCGGTGTCAATATACGGTTATAAATGTTTCCTTTATTTAAAAACATATATTAATTAATTTTTCTTATAAATATTTAACCTAACAAAAGTTACATATAATATTGAATAATATTACATTGTACAATAAAATATCAAATATTTAACTTAATATTAACAATTTTGAAATAGTTATAAGACAATCATGCTTATTACTTTCCTTACCCTCTGAGCTCAATCAACTTTCTTACAAACGAGTTTGTCAAAATTGAAGAACCGGCATTGCTGAAAATCCCTTCGTGTTGCAATCCAGGAACAATTCTTGTAAACTTGCATCTTGTGCGATTGTTGATTCCAAAATCTATAACAAACATATAGATAGAGTATTACTCAAGTATCTTGTAAATAATACTATAATTAATTAGTCAGTTTATTTTACATTGATTAACTGCAAATTAATTGTCGCGGCATGGATTTTTCAACAAAATGAGGATGAATGGCCAGATGATGTAGAGTTTCCAGCTGCAGAGAAATGCGAAATTGATTAGACAAGTAATTATTTTTTTTTCAAATCAAAAGATATTATTAATAACCTGTCTATGGGTGTGCAAAGGAATTAGGAAATTTAACTAACAATTCTTAAAGAAGATCAGTTTCTGTAATTTAAAAGAAATTATTGAAATTAATTAGACAAACGAAAAAATATTTAATTACTAATTTTCTATCCCACCTGTAAATCTAACTCCAAACAAGCACTATTTTTCTGATAACCCATCGCCCAGAATTTAAACGGTTCCTCGTATTCTTTCCACATGGTGACAAACAATCCCTTCTGAACGTAAAAATGGCAGCCCGTTCATCCGAGAAATCTTGGTCGCCTCGTTCAAATATTTCTTTGATGGCGTCCCGATTCTTGACCGGGGTTGGCGATGTAGGTCTGCAAGAGTTGTAGCAATGCTGGGAAATTCCGATTATCGGCTTCCAACGCGTAACGAAAAAATTCTTCCGCTTTGCCGGATCATTCCCCTGACGGAGTGAATATATAAAAAATTAGCAATGAGCACGACATAATTTTATAAAAAATATTCTCAAGCAATTGGAAATAAATACGTAAGTAACGTAATAAGAGGTGCAAAAATAATTAGCAATTATCATCATTTTATACAATCCTCACCCTTTCCCCCACTCGCTTACCACGGTCAATAACAAAATTCCCATCCTATTATTCGCCTTGCTTGAGTTCGGATGGAAAAGAATTAGAAATTTAACTTTAGGAATCCCAACTCACCTCGGTTTGAACCTCCCCATCCACTCTTGATCCTGTACAATGATAAGAACGTTGGCGTTTATTTATTATTTATTTTCACTAAAACAGAAATATGTAAACAATTCTGGTTTAAAGAAATCTTAAATAATAATAGATATCTACAAAATTACTAAATAAGCAAATAAAATTTTCTTACCTGCTAGTTGAAATAATCCACACCAAAAAAATTAGTTTTTTTTCACGAGAAAAATTGGAGAATTAATTCCTCCATCGTTCAGCCGGCTCGGAGGTGGAAACTGACAAAAATCCCGCGGCGTCCCCCCCAACACTTTTCAGTGAGAAAGGCGACACAAGACGGTGTTGGATTTAACACAACCATTATGTTAATGTATACAGTACACAGCTTGACACGATCAGGTGTGAAATGAGATAAGGATATTAACACAGAACGGTGTCAAATCCTCACCGTTTACACTCAATCTGTTGTCACCGTCGGGGTGACGTTGGATTTCCGTCATGGTGTCAGCATCGGTGTCAAATTTTGACACCGGTAGTTGAATTGAGTCTGACACCGACCGACAGTGTCAGTGCAATCTCAGAATTTGACACCAAGCTACTAAGAGTGTATCAAGTCTCATATACATACATACATAGATTAGGTTTCTTATACTGTAGATACTTTACTAATATTTCTGCAATTAGCAGACTTAAAATTTAGACGAGACATAAATAGGTATTCTAAAAGGTGAAACCAAAACACTAAAAAAATCTACACGTGTCAATTGAATGACCAACTAATATACTTTTTTTATAACAAAATCTTGACGACACTTGTTTACTAAATATTCGCAAAATATTAAATTTGCAAAATCACTCATATACACCAGGTTTGTCTACTTACAGTAAAATTTTACTATTTATGCCCTTGCACTAGAGATATTATTCACAAAATAAAAAAAATATACATATACACTTAATGTAACTAGTCTTTATCCTCACATAGTACGCTCAGTTCCAAGGGTCACTGTGTGCGACCTAATTGACCCACACAGCCAAAAATGGCACTAGTTGTGCAGAAATATGTATTAAATCAGTCAATTAATCAAAAACTTGAAAAAAAAATTTTATATGCATTTTACACGAAATGAGCACAAGGAAAGTGAAAAACGGGCTCGCAACTAGTCTTTATCCGCACTTTCAAAAACACTATTTTTTATTGAAATCAATTTTCTTTTCTTGTTTTCTTCATATGACGGTAAGCATATACTAAAGTACTATTAATTTAAGTAGTCAGCAATATTTTATATATTTTCATCTTGGTATATTGGTTATAGGAATGAATGGAAAATGCTTACCCCATTATGTTAGCAAATTGGTAAAATATTACCACAAGAAAAAAATAAAATCTGTAGCAATCAACAATAATATTAAACTGCAGGTTCTCACCGTCATGTATAAACTTTTGGAATTGCAGAATAGTACATAATTACTGATTTAGGTGAAATATCCCCTCACTTGTTACAACTCAACAAATTGATTGACTTTTCCCGAGGAGGTTATAGTTTGATTTCTGTTTAATTACACGAGAAATCAACATATAATTGTCTCACCAGTTCTGTACAAAGTTTTCGAACTAAAATTTTCCAAATATAATCCAAATTTTAGGATATAAAGATATAGTCGCTACTAAGACCCACTGCTAACAATGCGACAAATTATGACATGTTTGGGTGGGGCCAAGTGTTAATCCACGTGAGTTGTATCGGATTGGAAAATGGTTCTAATATGTTTATTTTGGTCTTATCTCATCATAGTACCGTCTTTCCAGTGTGATAAGGCCGAGATGGAATTACCCATGTAATAATTCAAACATGCCATAATTTGTCGCATTGTTAGCAGTGGGTCTTAGTAGCGACTATATCTTTATATCCTAAAATTTGGATTATATTTGGAAAATTTTAGTTCGAAAACTTTGTACAATTATATATTGATTTCTCGTGCAAATAAATAGAAATCAGACTTCGACTTCCTCTGGAAGAGACAATCAATTTGTAAAGTTGTAACAAGTGAGAGGATATTTCACTTAAATCAATAATTATGTACTATTTTTCAATTCCAAAGGTTTGTACATGACGGTGAGCATCTGCACTTTAATATAATTTTTGACTGCTGCAGATTTTAATTTTTTCTTCTGGTAATATCTTACCAATTTGCTGAAATAATGGGGTAATCATTTGCTATGCATTCCAATAGCCAAAATACCTAGATGAGAATATATGAAATATTGCTGACTACTTAAATTAATAGTAATTAAGCATGTGCTTACCGACATAAGAAGAAAACACGAAAAGAAAATTGATTTCAATAAAAAACAGTGTTTTTATAATGCGGATAAACACTAGTTGCGCGCCCGTTTTTCTCTTTCCTTGTGCTCATTTCGTGTAAAATGCATATAAAAATTTTTTTTGAAGTTTTTGATTAATTGACTGATTTACTACATATTTCTGCACAACTAGTGCCATTTTTGGCTGTGTGGGTCAATTAGGTCGCTCACAGTGACCCTTGGAACCGAGCGTACTATATGAGGATAAAGACTAGTTACATTAAGTGTATATTAAGAAAATATATACACAAACAATTTTTTTCTGTATTTAATTCATTCGAATTCAGAGCATCCATACAAAAAATCTAGTCTAGTGTTTAAAAAAAAACTTGCCCCGCATACAGAGGTGAGTGGGCTTTAAATTTTTCGAAGCCCAACCCAACCCAACCCAACTACATAAAATTAAAAAATGCCCAACCCAACCCAACCCAACTTCAGAAAAATAAAAAATGCCCAACCCAACCCAACTTCAGAAAAATAAAAAATGCCCAACCCAACCCAACCCAACTTCAGAAAAATAAAATATGCCCAACCCAACCCAAGCCCAACTTCAAATGGATAAAAATGCCCAACCCAACCCAACTGGGTTGGGTTGGGCCGGCTTGGGCCCATCCAACTTGGGTTTCCATCTACCCCTGGACATCGCAGTTAGTAATGGCAAGAAGTGAGGAACTACCCACCGCGTGGTGGTTTGCGAGAACTAACGCTAGATGTGAGTTAGAAATCCGTTTTTTTCCAACTTTATAAGAATATAAAATTCCCAACTCAGCTCAACCCAACCCAACCCAGCTTTACAAAAACAAAAAAAGTGCCCAACCCAACCCAACCCAACTTTATAAAATGAAAAAATGCCCAACCCAACCCAACCCAACTTTATGAAGATAAAAAATGCCCAACCCAACCCAACCCGGTTGGGTTGGGTTGGGCCGGGTTGGGCGTCTCGAAGTTGGGTGACCTACTCACCTCTGCGCATCTACCTAAAATAAAAAAAAGTAGCAAAAAACTTGTAGAAAAACAAGCTGCAGAAAAACAAGTAATTTCAAAACGGGTGAATGCAAATGGTAGCGAGTACCTTACTTTATTTTTATTTACTATACTAATTAATAATAATACGCTGTTGGATTCGTTTTGATGATGGCGTGGGACCAAGATGTAGCGTCAGTTCCATTTTTCAGTAATTTAATACATACTGCCATTATTTAAGAATGAGACTAATAATCAAGGATAAACACGACTAGACAATAATACAGCCAACTATATATGTTTACAAGATGACATTGATGCATTTAAAATAGTCATTTTTTTCACCTCTCGCTTTCTTTGGGGTTCAATGGATCTTAAAATTTGCTAAGATGGATGCATAGGGCGTTGCGACCTGAGAGGGGGACATGGAGCGAGTGACCTTAAAATTAGATAGATAGATCTGCAGTGTGGTTGGGGTGAAAATATCGAGAAAATTTTTTTGGGGATATAATTTCAAACATTTATAAATCGAGATTATTTCCACGTTTGCCGCATATCTTGTCACACTTATCAGTCAGAAAAAATTGCAAAATTTAGGGGGCCCTGAGTGGAGCGTCGCGAACATTAAAATCCAACATTGCTTCCCCCGATAAGATGAACGTGGTCATTACAATCTCCACCAGAATATGACGATGCCAGGAAATCAGCAACAAATGGTATTAAGCAACAAAAACTACGACATAACTAATTCAAGATAAGTATTAAGTCATCTTTTTCTCCCTGTTTAGTCTCGATTTGGTGCCATACTTCCCGTCGGGGGAGCATTTTACGGCACCACCTCACCCAGAACATCCCTAACATCAAACGAGTCACAACTCGTAACCTATCCGTCCCCACAACAAAAGGGAGGAAGTGCGTCGTTCAACCCCTTCTACATAATTCCGTTGGGGGGAGGAGAACTTTCCAGTGGAAATCCCCCACCTCTTCCCAGCACCACTACCGAGCAACCAATAACGACTACGACACTTGAACCGCTCCAACAACTCATAGGCTTCCTTTATTCTGTTGGTTATGCAAATGAATCCACACCACCACCCGAACATAATCTGGACCGACCTTTGACCCTGTTCGATCTCGCCATGCTGACCAAAACAAGTAACATACCGACAAAAAATTACGAGCAGGATGACCAGGAAGACGATGAAGCTGGAGAATCAGAAGAAGAACAGCTTGGTGTCGGGACGAAGTCCAAAGTGGAAATAAATCGATCTACGCCGATAAAGATGGTATCGTCCGAATTAAGTTTTCTCGTAGGTCCGGCAGGTTTCAGAGAGATGACGAAGTGGAGGGTGAGGGCGATACGAATAATTATTTAGTGTCAAACCCCCAGTCACGACGAGACATTCCTCAATATCGTGGAGAACTGCAGGGGAATAATGTTCCCACGTTAATTTTTAGAGCTGCGATGCGATTCTTGTCCCGTATGATGGGCAGTGGTGGGAGGTGAATATTTTTGAAAAAATATGCATGTCCAAATGTTATTATGAATTTGGGAACTTATCTTTTTCAGGATTGAAATTTATTTATTTTTTTAAAGCAGAGATTCTGACGACATGGTATTACATACTTAAGTAATAATTTCTAGCTTTTGGAATGGTTATTCCTTCATCAGGTCGAGAAATTAAATAAAAAATAAATGTACATCAATTTTGAATGATCAACTAATTGTATGTATAACTATGTTGCCTCGTAGATCGCTAAGAAATTCGAAAAAAATACGACGAATAAATGATTCCCATCGCTTAAAATTAGTTCCCATCTTGTCCGCTGGTTTGACTTCTGTCAGACGACCCATTGCCTCCTCTCCCACCCCTAAACCAACCCCCATTCTGACCGTCTTGCGCCCCATCTGCCCCCTTTCCCCCTTTGCCACCCCAGGAGAAATATGACCTGCTTTTCTTGACCTCCACTGATCCACTGCCCCCACAAGTGTGACATTGTTCACGATCTCCTTGACCTACTTGCCCCCCAAAGTTGTCACTGCCTTCGTTTCCACGTCCTGTAAATTAATAACATTTTGCAATCAATAATAATAACAACACTAAAAAAAAGTTCGCAAAATACTAGCAAAAAATTAAGTCGCAATATCTGCCTGACCAATATTAGAAAACTTTACAAAATTTGCAAACACAATAAATATCGACAATATAAATTGATATCTTTTTTTTACTTACGGTTCATTTTGTCCAAAAATTAATAACTCGTCGGGATCCTCAAAAAGAAATGTAAATATTTCCCTGGACCAGCAAGTGATGTCAGAATAGTGATAGCTACATACATATGTATGTAAATATTGGCAAGTTACATACTTACTTAAATACATTGTAGGTACATAACTATAACAGCAATTTGTTGATTATGGTTTTTCACGTAGCGACACGAGATCCCATGAACAAGTTTCATGAGTAATTTACATCGGTAATTTATGTCTCAAGTACGTTAGTTCAGTCAACTTGTTGATCTACTTATTTATGTTAAGCTGGAGATGAGAATCATTACAGACAGGATGATATTAACCTTGAAGTTTGTTGGTTGGCCATAATTACAGTGTTGTTAGATATTTGATGTTCTCATTTATATAAGATGTAAAAAAAGCATCATATTTTGCGAATACTCCATAAACTACACTTTATAACATATATATGCATATATGTATGTAAAGCATTGAGATTTTATTATCACGAGGACTATAATAAATCCTTGCCTAAAAATTGTGAAAAAATCTTAATTTTAAAAGTATACATATATGTCTCTCATAATGGAAAATACATGCACGTGTATTGTATATGTAATAATAGAATTCATAACTATGTATGTACATATATGTATAAATATTTACTATTATGTTCTTTATAAGGAATAACAAACCTTATTAACTATAAATATTCACAAGTGATTCTGGATGCCACAACTATTTATTGTACATATATAATTACAATGATCAAACTTTTTTTACTTTTTACTAAACATTCCTCCGTTTTTATGTTTTAGGTAGGTAGATAGATTATGCAATTAGATGATAACAAGTAAATAATGCACCTTGAGACGAAATGGTGCAAAATTTTTAGAATAAATGGTGAAGAAAATTTTATGAATTTGTTTCCTTAATAAGCCTCCAAATATTGTAAAAATTAGCATTTCTGGTGCAAAAACAATCTTTATTTAATAATTGTTACTACTAATACATTTAAATTTACATCTCCGTTTTACTTTTTCGTTCCGCCTTTGCCCCCATTTCCGCCTCCAAAGCCCCCTCCCCCACCCCCACCTCCTCCATTCGATCCGCCCCCACCGCCACCATAATTAACGAAATGATTATCTCCAACTGTAAGAAATGGGTAAAAAAAATTAATTCTTACACTTATTAGTAGTATTAATTAATTTTTCTTAATAATTTAAAAAATTTAGGAAATATATACGTTTCATAGTTTTGACGTTAGTTTACTAATTTTAAGAGATACGTCAATTCAGCTCAGTTTGGCAGTGTATGAAATGGTTGTTCGTCAGACTTTACCAACTTTTGGATGGTGGGGATGTTATCTGAGGAAATGGTTCGATTATGAATGAATTACAGCTTTACATCATCAACTAATTTATACACCATCCAAAACATTTAGTATATTGAGTATAGCATCATAACTCAAAGTGGTTCATGTGTCCTCATGTCCCATGATTAATGATCATTGGAATATTATTATCTTTGTTCACGTCCCCTTGTCACTATACATATGTCACCGGCTACTCATAAATAATTAAAATTTGATAAAATAAATGACAAGAAACACTTTTCCAATAATCAAATGAATAATATCCATGCAAAACTTTGGACAATTGACAATAACAGCATCCTCTGCAAATCTACAATTGATTACATCGCTGCAAAATTTTACATAAATTGACCACACATTACTCAGGAAAAGGTCAGAAGAGAAAAGTCACCAGAACAGCAAAATATTTACATACCTCGACTAAACTGCAGGGAAGAATTGTAATCAAATTTTTATAAATTCAAGGTAATCAGTTTAAAATTTTGTGACAAGCTTATTTATAAAATAGATATAATTAATTAGTTTTTTTGTAGATGAATAATTTCGGAATTCCGAACGGTATTTGGATACAACTAAATATACTTCATTCAATTACCTACTCATATTATGTAACATAAAATAAAATGATTAATATTTCTGGAAATATATAGTAGGCGTTCTTTGTGCCGGAGGAGGGGGCAAACAATAATGTTTCTACGAAATATTAAAGCATATTAATAAATATTATTGCAATTAAAATTCATAAATGTGAATTATGAAAATCTTTAATCATACATATCTATAATTAATTTCTTGATTGCATTTAAAAATTATTCCCCATGTATGATGAATTTATACACTAACTGGCAAAATATATGTTGAACTTCACTATAATTGGAAGTCAAATAGTGAATTAGAACTCGTAAATACTTACATAAAAGGAAGCCTTCCTTAAACATTGAAGTTACATACTAAGTACTTTTATATTGTCTTATGTATGTTATGTCCTTATATTAGACAATGTTGTGATTTATGTAATTAAACCAAATCCTTCATACATACCAAGTTGGGTCTAATTTAAATACATAACATTTAATTTGGGTATTAATTTTAATATATATATATATTATATACATACATAACATGATTATTAAGCTCTTCATATGACGTGTTTGTGTGCATAATAAATCGTTTTTTTAAACCCAACCAAAACTCGCTGACTGGAATCCATGAAAGTTCATGATCTTTCTTAAGTTTCTTACATAAAAATTACATCTTTGACTAGTCATTAATGTTAAACACATGAAATCATGCCACACTTTAATGTGACACTTACCCTCATATGCATTTAGATGTGTTATATGTAAAGTCGTGCATGAGAATCAGTTGTACATATTTAGTGAGTTTACTGCGATTATCGTGCAAAGGACTACTAGGCAATTTAATTTAATTCATTACATACATACGTAGTAAGGAAGCTCCTAATTCATACTTATATAAAACATGGCAGGTAAGTTTATTATCAAGAAATTATGGTAAATCGCAAGAAACTAATATATATAATTATACTATATTTCAGGCGGTGGCGGGGGTGGTGGTAATTTTTACATAAAATTATTTTGCAGCATAAATAAATCCATTGCATAGTAATCATACAAAACTTCACGATTTTATTTACGTATGTAGGTGGGGGTGCTGCTGGAAAAGGGGGTCGTCCAGGAAGGGGTGGCGACGGAGGGTCGGCGGGAGGTAGGGGTCAAGACGGTCAACCTGGAACAGGGTCGGGGGCTGGAAGTGGGGGACGTGGGGGTTCACCTGGTTGCGATGGGGGGCGTGGTGGGGACAGTTCTAGTGGACGCGGGGGGAGTGGTGGAAGCGGGGGAGGTTTTCTTGGCGGTGGGGGTGGAGGTGGGGGAGGACGATGAAATGATTATGGGTAGCATTTTGTCAGAAATGTAGAATTTCTGGAATTTAATTTTGACAAATTGATATCATCTTAGAGAATTAAAATAATTACAATACTGCCAACATCTTTCGGCGTTATTTGGATATTTAGATAATTTTTTAAAAGTATGTACATGCAGAATACAGTAATTTTGGGGAATCCTATCAAAATAAAAATTTGATATGTATTGGATATTATGTGCGTTTATTTATTTTGTGCATGCATACGATATAAATTAGTTTTTTTTTGCATTTGGATAAAAATTGCATTTATGGAATGATTAATGGAATAAATTTGTTTTTATGGATTGCATTTTATATATATTTTATATATATTTATTTACAACATACTACTCTGAATGACAAAAATTTAGAACATAATAAATTGAAAATCCGTCAGAAATCCTATCAATTTACACCACCCTCTTAATATTTGCTTCCATCTCGTCCATCTTGACTTCTGTCAGCCCCATTGCCTCCTCGCCCACCCCTAAACCAACCCCCATTTTGACCATCTTGCGCCCCATCTGCCCCCTTCCCACCTTTGCCACCCCAGGAGAAATATGACCTGCTTTTCTTGACCTCAACTGATCCACTGCCCCCACAAGTGTGACATTGTTCACGATCTCCTTGACCTACTTGCCCCCCGAAGTTGTCACTGTCTTCCTTTCCATGTCCTATAAATATGCATATATTACATACTAATAAAACACGGGCAAAAAAATAATGCCGTAAAATTTGCAAATTTTTTTTGACAGAACTTGTCCAAAATTAGTTACCTAATTTCCTTACAACAGTTAAGTATTTATGAGTTAAAAAAACTTTGAAAAATTTGCAAATTTTCGAATACTTAATATCGTCAATATAAACATTAGAATTTAGGTTTTGACTTACGATTCATTTTTAGACAAATTATAATTAATTAATTAACAAATAATGATTTGGCCGGGATGAACCTATAAAATGTAATATTTCCCAGTGATGGATCCACGAGAAGTGTGCCAATCTTTGTACTGCGAGATTTTCGTTATACATTTGGGATTACGTAATACATTTTATTTGTTATTCACGCAGCTACATGAGTTCCCATGAATAAATAGTTTAGTTTGATGAGTGATTTTTTAATAAGTAACTTGTTTTCGGCCAAGGTTCACGTTTGTTGTATGATATTCCCAGTAAATAAAATAAATAAAGATACCATGCATGATGACTAAGTATTTGCACCAGTGTCATAATACATAAAGAATGCCATGGAAGATACAGAAATAGGCGGAAATTGCTGATGGGATTTAATGTGTGGTCAAAACGTTTTCTATGTATGATTGACCTGTGACCTTTATTTTAATTGAGAATGACAAATCTTACAAAAGTTTATTGATTACATTTTTCAATTATGTTTGTAAAGCAGGCTGGATTTGATGGACTCAACCGACTCAAATTATTTATGTAAGTACTTCGAATTACTAAGTTTAATTGAAAGATTGAAATATGATGCATTATTTGACCTGTGTAAGGGAACTATTTTCAATGAATTTTTGTAATGAATAAAATAATTTAAGGTAAAAATGTTCACGTATATTTATGAGACATATCATGCAATTAAATGATATTAAGAATGCCATTCTGAAATACAATTGTTTCAAACGATGGAATTTTTCTTGTAAAAATATATATGACAAATAGGTTTTATTAGAGGCATCTAAGTATTTATGTTGCAAATTAGTCTATGTATGTATAAACAAAATTATGTCGTAAGAACAATGTTTATTTATTCAACTATATGTGACATCAAGATTGTAATATTTGTTATGAATTTTTATTTGCGACTTCCACCATCGCCCCCATTCCCACCCCCAAATCCGCCTCCGCCACCCCCACCTCCGCCATTCGATCCGCCCGCACCTCCCCCAAAGGTGACGAAATTGTCTCCAACAACTGGAAGAAACGGGTAAAATAATTAGCACAACTAGTAACAATTAATATATTAAATTCTTTAAATAATTAAGATAATTATGTATATCTGTACGTTTCATAATTCTTGAAATTTTTATTTTCACTCTGGTTTGTAAGTCAAATTCACGCAGCTTGGCAGTGATTAACTGGTTTAGAGTTATTCGTCTGACTTATATTAACTCTTGCTGGATGTTATCTAATAGTGTTAAGTAATGGTTTGTAAATGTAATCAATTGTATGTGAATGGGAGTTAAAATAATTTGTGCATTACTTATAGCATATGTATTGAGCTACAAACATTATATTTACATATTCTGGAGGTAGTTCATGGAGTTTCTTAAAAGTCCATGATCACTGTGGGATACAGACATTGATGACTTCCCCTCGTGTACTGATTCATAATAAAAGTTTGGGTGTCCATGCAAAGATCTGGAGAATGACGGCAATGATTCTGTAACTGTGTATATGAAAGTGTTTGATTTATTGTATGTATATATAGTTGCAAAATTTTACATATACTTGAAGTTCTGTATAGAAAATATTGATACATATTCAGTGGATTTACTGCGTTTATCTAGCCAACTACTAGGCAGTTTAAAAATAATTATTACAAAATAGAAAACTTCTCTTAGTCAAATCAAATATGGGAGGTAAGTATTTTTAAGCACGAAGTATTTTTTTAAATTTACGACATCGTTTTTAAAAAGCGTATATGTACAATGAGATTCATAAAGGAAACAAACTATATATAATGTATAATATAAATGTAAAAATTCTAGTATTTGCAAATTTAAACATGTTAGATACAATTACTTTGAAATTGCAAAAAAATTGTGGTAAATTATTATAATTGCTACATATTTTTCAGGTGGTGGCGGCGGCGGTGGTAATTTCTACCAATTTTTCTTTACATTTACATTTATTTAAGTACAAAGAATATGAGAATACGCTGTATTCTCATATTATTTGATTTAAGTACATACTAAAATAGAGGTGATTACTAAAAATTAAAAATTGATGATGTTACGTAGGTGGGGGTGGTGCTGGTGGTGGAGGTGGTTGTGCCGGTGGTGGGGGTGGCGCTGGTGGAGGGGGCTGTGGAGGAAGGGGTGGTGACGGAGGGTCATGGCGAGGGAGGGGTCAAGACGGTCAATCTGGGACAGGGCCATGGTCTGGAAGTGGGGGACATGGGGGTTCACCTGGTTGCGATGGGGGGAGTGGTGGGGACGGCGGTAATGGACGAGGGGGGAGTGGTGGGGGAGGTGGAGGTCGGTGAGACAATTATGGGTAGCACTTTGTCAGAAATGTGGACGGTGGGGAATATAAGTTTTTTTGCAAATTGGTGTAATTTTTAGCGAAATAAAATGATTATAAAATTGGTCAAACTGTTCGACATTTTTTTGTGCATATATTTTAAAAAAATTTGAACTTCAGGGAATTCAATGGACATACAAGTTTAATTTATGCATATCTTCTTCAAAAGATGTCATTTTAGAAATTTAATTATTTGTGCAAGCTTTCGAGTACGAAGTGTCATCTTCAACAGGGAAAGCAATTAACGAGTAGACGATTAACTATATGCATAGCTACTTATATATTTGTATATTATGCATGGATGCATAATTTCTTTTCGAAAACTCAATTCAAGCCGTCAATATACAAATGAAACTAGTTTTTACAAACTTACTATTCATTTTTCAAAAATACTAATTAGCCAGGATGAACCTATAAATAAATAAAAACAAGAAAATATCTATTTCCCAGTGATGGATTCCCGAGAAGTGTGCCAATCTTTTTACTGCGAAATTTTTCTTAAACATTTGGGATTACGTAACATATTTAATTTGTTATTCACAAATTTAGCTATATAAATCAGATGCACAAATATCTTAGTTTGATAAGTGACTATTTTTAAGTCACCTGTTTTCGTAAAAGGTTTAAATAGTTGTGGTATTCGCAGTAAATAAAATAAATAAAGATAACCATGCATGCACGTGTGTTATAATTAATAACATATCTATGACATGGATACATATAGAAATGGACTGAAATTGCTTACGGGATTTAATGTTAAGTCAACAATTATGTTATGTAACACGTTTGACCTGTGTCCTTCATATTTATGGAGAATTTGTCATCCTGAATAACAAATCTTGTAAAGTATTTTGATAATTTTTTCCATATATATTTGTACAGCAGACTGGATTTGATGAGCTCAACCAACTTATATGCATAACTACTTTGATTTACAAATTTGATAAAAATATTGACTCGTGATTGTATGTATATAGTTCGTGTGTAAGGTGACTATTTATTAATTTTTTTATTAGAATTAATAATTCTGAGACGCATTATATCATGAATTGATGGTAATGAAGCCATTTTGAGATTTATCATAAGATGAAAATTTAGATGAAATCAGATGACAAATGGAACTCATTATGGCATGGGTACAAAGTTTATTTCAAATACGTGACATGAAAATGACAATAGAATTTTATTTACGACTTCCACCATCGCCCCCATTCCCACCTCCAAAGCCGCCTCCGCCACCCCCACCTCCGCCTTTCGTTCCGCCCGCACCTCCCCCAAAGTTCACGAAATACTCAATAACTGCAAGAAATGAGTAAAATTGAAATTAATCAGAATTAATAAATTAATCGTAAAAATTAATTAAAAAATTAAATTATGTACGTATATTGTACATACATTTCATAATTTTGAATTTTATCCACTAGTTGTAAAGAGGTGAGACAAATCCACAGTTTGCAGTGATGTGTGTGAATTATTTATATATTTCTGGCTTATATCACCTCCTGCTAAAGTATGTTATCTAACGATACGTTAATATACAACGTAACATTATGAATACACTATTGTAAACTTTTAGCATGTCGAGTTACATAAATAATCTGGAGGTGGTTCATGATATGTATGATGTACATATCTAAATAACTTGATCTTGTGGATCCAATCATAAGTTTGGACAATGGCACCATACGCAGCTACATATATAAATAATATGTACATATGTACACGTGTGTGATTTATTGGTTTGATAGACTCAATTGTACATAAATGAATTGCAATTGCATTGTATAATAATGTGTACCCTATCCCAAACTTTAAGCAAAGTGAGCAATAAACATATTCTGGAGGTAGTTCATGTAGTGTCATAAAAGTCCATGATCACTTTGGGATATAGATATTGATGACGTCCCCTCGTGTACCGATTCATAATAAAAGTTTGCGGTGTCCATGCACAAATCTGGAGAATGACGGCATCCTCTGTAACTGTGTATGTATATGGAAGTGTGTGATTTATTGCATAATTGCAAAATTGGACATAAATTGACCACACTTTACTGAGATGTAGCTCAGAAGAGAAAAGTCATCAGAGCAAGAATTTATACCTCAACTTGACTTAAAACTACTGGGAACGATTTTGATCAATTATTTTTATCCAAAGGTATTTACAAGACAAATATTGTCGAAAAGGTTATTTATAAGGTAGATACAATTAATTTTTTTGCAGATGAATACCTTCGGAATTCGAAACGGTATTTTGTGATAACTATTGATAATTTATTCGATTTGCTACCCATTATAAATACGTATGATAATATTTCCTAATTTAATATATCTACCTTTAGTAAACGTCCTTTGCGCCGGAGGTGGGGGCGGTTCTGATGGCGGCGGTGGGGGTGGTGGTGGCGGATTTGGGGGTGGGAATGGCGGAAATGGTGGCAAGTGATTGAGATCCATTATGATTGGGGGAAATATTGAAACATTTGAATAAATATTGTTGCAATTAAAAATGGAAAATGTGAAAAAATTCTTATAGTCTCATAAAAAGCATACCTCATTTATTATACGTCATATTAAAACGGAGTATACTTCTCTCATTTGCGCCATTGTCCCCCTCGCCAAAGTATCGTCATAACTTGGCCAAAAATGATTTTTATACGGAATTTAACTAATTTTATTCGTAACTCATTGCGTGTTCCCCTTTTTGATATACATTCATAGATGGAAACTTTGGCCTCGTAAATTCGAAAGGTTTTGTGCTTGATGACTAATTAAGTACAAAGTGCATAAACAATTTTGGCATCGCCTACTTAAATCCACTTAATTTGACATCACTTTGTGCATTAAGTTATACACATGTAGCTACATGAAAACCTATGAATACTAATAAGAATTTGACGAGTAATTATTTACTTGTAAAATAATGTCATCACCAAGTCTTGCAGGCGGCTCAACCACTCAAGAAAGCAAATAATTTTACTTTCCCGTTACTCAAATGAGGGATTTACACCTTAAACTTTAAGTTCATTCCAACTCAATCTATCTTGAATTAGTGTGGAGGTGGGACTATAAAATCAAATATTTCCCAACCTCCACTTCACGAAATTCTGCCAAGTCTCTTCCCATCTTATGGCTATTGCTGGTCTCCAAATAATATTACAATGTCATTAAGGACGCCACCCTCTAAAAAAAGATGACCTCATTAAGAAATTTAATATAAATTGGACACCTTACTAAGAAAGCAAGTCAGAAGGGATAATACATCTGAACAAAATCATTTACTGCCCCACTTCACCAGGAAGAATTAAGATATTATACTTTGGCCCAATTTTAACACATAGATAAAACGGTAAAATGTTGAAATTTTGTGGGGAACTGTATATTGTATATACATATTTGCTAAGATTAACTAATTTTTTTTTATGTGGATAGAAATTATGAATAGTTTTGTCGGAAAAGGTACATATTTTGGGATCGGTATTTTTTACTTGATTTATTATATAGATAATAATGACTTGTAAGTAATTTAAGTAATCTGTACTTTAAGACGTTACTATGCTTTGTGCCGGAGGAGGAGGTGGGTACGGATCTGATGGGGGTTGGCGGGACTGCGGCGGTGGGGGCAATAGTGGTGGAAGCAGCGGATTCGGTTTTAGTGGATCTGGGGGAAGCAAGTGAGGGGAATTGCAGGCGTATATGCATGAAGCCTTCCTTATTATTTGAATTTAAAAAATGTCCAACTGATTTGAATAAATATCTTTGCCAATAATCCTGCTTAGATAGATGGGGGACCTTGGACTTTTCAAAAAATTCGGAAGATTTATTAATTTGATGAGTAATTAAGTGCAATTTGCATAAACAACTTGTTGTTCAAACTTGGCATTATATTTACATATGTAGCTACATGAAAACCTATGAATATTAATAATAATTAATGGTGAGTAGATAATTATTTACTTTTCGAATAATAACATCAAATCCGGCATGCGGCTCAGCCACTCATGGAAGTAAATAATTTCACTTTCCCGTTTCTCATGAGAGATTCATGTACCTTGGCTTGTTAAACTTTAAGGTAATTTCCAACTCATTCTATCTTGAATTAGTGGGGGGATTGGTGTGTAGTAAAATCAAATATTAAACTTCTCCAGCTCCAATTCTAGATTTATATGTGACATTCTAGAAGGTTCCTAGAATCCAGTAGGGGAGACTCACATTTTGCATAACAAATTCATAACGAGCCTCATTTGTGGACTACATTTTCACATTTGTCCCCCACATTTGTCCCCTTGGCAAGCCTTTTTTTCGGCTGGGATGAATTCACTCATACTACAAAAATCTGTCATGAAACGCCAAAAATTGAATTCACACGTACGATTGCTGGATATCATCGTATCATATCATCATGAGCTTTAACGAAATTCTCTTACATCTCTTCCCATATATTGTCTCGTCGTGTACTTGTGTCCAAGTAATATTTAACCAGGGACGCCACCCTCTAATAATTATGACCTCATTGAAAAAATTAATATAAATTGCACACCTTACTAAGAGTACAAGTCAGAAGGGAAAATACATCAGAATAAAAACATCTACTGCATCACCAAGAAAAATTAGCAGATTACTTTACTACAATTTTTACACATCCAATTTAACGGTAAGAAACCCGAAATTTTGCTGAGAGTTATATACACACATTTTTACTAAAATTAAATACAATAATTTTTTTGTGGATAGAAACTATGAATAGTTTTGTGGGAAAAGGTATTTTGGAATAGTTATTTTTTACCTGATTTATTGTAGATAATTAGTGACTTGTACATAATTTAATTAAAATCTGTACTTTTAGACGACACTATGCTTTGTTCCGGAGGAGGAGGAGGAGACGGTTCTGATCGTGGGTGGGGTGGCTGCAGCGGTGCGAGTAATAGTGGTGGTGGACACGTCGGATCCGGATGTGGTGGGAGTGGTGGCGGATCTGAGGGTGGAAGCAAGTGATTGCACATTTTTATAGTGTATGCATTTATGAATTTATGAATCCTTCCTTATCATTTGAATTTAAAAAATTCTCAACTGATTGGAATAAATATCTTTAACAATAATTCTGCTTTACTCGATCACATTATTACATCATTGAACAACTAAAGTCATTCTTCATGAAACCACACCCCTTCCAACCAGTCCGTCATGTTTTTAGCAGTAGGATAAGTGAAGAGCATGCAAAAAACTTGCAACGTGTTTGTAATTGCGTTATTCATGTAATCACATGAGAACCCATGTTTACGTTGATGAGTAATTATTTCTCATGAGCGTTATCAACTTTATGGTTATAACGCAGAGCAATCATGAAAGCGAATTTTATTCACCATTAACTGATATACGGCTTGAAAGGGACGATCATATAAAGTCATCCAAAATTTGTCATTAGCACAAATTCTTTGTGTCCCATCTTAAGAGCGAAATGTCGTCCCCAGCTAATAGCCAAGAAAGTGATTCAACTTTTAACAGCAAAATCAGGACGAGGCGCATCATTTCTGACGACATTTCCAAAGTTGTCTCCCATCTGTCAAGTTATTTCTGTCGGGATGAATTCACCCTCGGTCTGTGGCCTTCGGACGACGTGTTGGTTGACTTGGAGTGGATTCTGGAGAAAATAATTTCTCACGGATTATGCACACTTGCAGAGGATATCGAGACACTTGAGGTATTTACTAATTAAATATTGTCAAAAAAGGAATCTTTTAATTTTTATAAATTTAAGATTGTTGGCGTCCTCTGCTGTTACATTCAACCCATGGACAAGGAAATTCTTGCATTCTCCAAGCTCAAGAGTTACGCAATGAAGATCAACTTTGGTCTGAATACGGTCGCCGTGAAGAATTCGAATTTCTGGGAAGTAATTAACGAGTCCCAATATTTGCACGTTTTTGCCCTCTCGGTCCACCCAGATTGGCGGAACGCCGGAGTCGGGACGCGACTCGCAAAGGATGCCTTTTTCTCCGATGAAATCCAGACAGGGCCGCATATCCTGGCCTCCATGTTCACAAGTCCGTACAGCACGAAAATTGGAAAAAGGCTCGGATTCAAAGAAATGCCAGAATCTGTTGTGAAATACGAAACATTATCATGGGACGGAAAGTTGGTGTTTGACAGTGAAGATCTGAAAAGGCAGGTGGATGGGAAAAGCTGTGAAATTTTGTGGATGGATTTGAACACCATTTTATAAATTTAAGACTTAGAATCTCTACCAAAAAAGTCTTATATTAAATATGCGTATCTTAAATCTTGTCATAAATTAAATAAAGAAAATAGTCAAACTAATAATACGTATTATGTACATAATTCGCAAAAATTTGCACATATTTTTATTTTTATTCAACATCTTTTCATACCTTACAATAACTTTTAACAATTAAATAATCATATAAAATAATTTATTTATTCCCTTCGACCCCCACCATCCCCTCCCTTCCCTCCGGAAAACCAACCCCCATCTTCCCCACGCTGCCCCCCAGCTCCCCCACCGTCTCCTCCCTGTCCACCCCTGAAACAACCTGTTGAAATAAACGAACCCCATTAAATCATAAGAATACATCTACTTGCAATCTAAACATTTAACTTAATTGTTCACTTTAGCAAATAATAATCACCCGAAAAGTACAGCGCGGTCAGACCGGCGCAGGCAGCGACGAAAACGAAAAGATTTTTATTTTCCGCACTAACAATGCCACGTCCTGGCTCGCCATTGTTCCCATTTGTTCCTCCCTTTCCTCCTGGAATGTTTAATTTATTCTGAATTAGTGGAAATTTGTCGATATATATATATATTTCCAATTTCTTGGATATTTTACCTTGGAACATTTTGTGTGTTTAATTTCCTGTCAGAATTGTCTAAGCACTTTCAATGTGCAGTTCTGCAAATCAGGTGTAAAATAAAATACTCACGATAGATAGTTGCAGGCCACAAGTTATACTAAAAGGCTAAATAAAGATGATGGAATGGATTGCATGAAACTACATCAAACCCATCCAAGCAAAAAAAACTTTGCAGAAAAAACACTGCAAGTTTTACACTGTTGGACACCTTTGACCTTGAGCATACATAAATAATGTGAGTTTCACTAAAAATCTAACTCAACTTTTGACCTTCACTAACACTCAGGATTAATTTAGGTTTGCAGTCGTTAATTTGCTACTGATATTTAAAAAATAATAATAAAGTTTCATTTTTTTAAATTTGCGATAATACATAAATACGTATCAACCAATATTTTTTATACGATTTGGTTTTATAATTAATTAATAAAATTTACATTTATTTTCGAAATGGAATCTTCTTGACAGTAATTCAGAAACGACCAGTTTTTGTCCCGAGTGTACCTCCGTTTATCGTCAAGTGGACGTTTTTTATGGTAAATTGGCACCATTTATTGTCAAAATTGGGCATAATTTACGATTTAAACCAACAGGTGAGAATCCAATTTAGGAAACATATCTTTGAAATTTTCACATTGAAAAATAATACCATTCATGATAATTTTAATTAGGTCAAGTTTATGTGAAAAAAGAAGAAATTGAAATCAAATATGAAATTGACGATATTATGCACATACATACAAAACGTATTAGATAGGTGATGATCATTCTGATCCAGATAACTGTGATGATAATCAAAATCGAGATAAAAAATCGTCACCATTATCGGACAGTATTTTTGAGGATAAGGAGACTTTTTGAAGATGGCGATATGAAAGACCTGCTGGAGCACCTCGGTGAATGGTAGCCAAACTGAATTTAAATAATTAGTTATGACAATTTAATATTGTACTGACTTACTAAATAAATATAAAATTCCAGGAGGAAAGGGAGGAACAAATTGGAACGATGGCGAGCCAGGACGTGGCATTGTTTGTTAGTGTGGAAAACCAAAATCGTTTCGTTTTCGTGGCTTCTAGCGCCACTCTGACCGCGCCGTACTTTTCGGGTGATTATTATTTGTTAAAATGAACAATTAAGTTAAATGTTTAAATTGTAAGTAGATGTGTTGTTATGATTTAATGGGGTTCGTTTATTTCAACAGGTTGTTTCAAGGGTGGAAAGGGAGGAGACGGTGGAGGTCGAAGGGAATAAATAAATTATTTTATATGATTATTTAATTGTTAAAAGTTATTGTAAGGCATGAAAAGATGTTGAGTAAGTAAAATATACTTTTTTTTGCGAATTATTATTAGTTTAACCATTTATTTTCCTTATTTAATTTATGACAAAATTTTAAATACGTATTTACTAAGTGTAAGACTTTTTTTGGTACAGATTCTATACAATTAAGTCTTCATTTTAAAATTGTGTTCAAATCCATCCACAAAATTTCACAACTTTCCCCTTCCACTTGCCTCTTCAGATCTTCACTGTCAAACACTAATTTTCCGTCCCATGACAGCGTATCGTATTTCACAACTGATTCTGGCATTTCCTTGAATCCGAGCCCTTTCCCGATTTTCGTGCGGACTTGTGAACATGGAGGCCAGGATATGCGGCCCTGTCTGGATTTCATCGGAGAAAAAGGCATCCTTTGCGAGTCGCGTCCCGACTCCGGCGTTCCGCCAATCTGGGTGAACGGAAAAGGCAAAAACGTGCAAATATTGGGACTCGTTAATTACTTCCCAGAAATTCGAATTCTTCACGGCGACCGTATTCAGACCAAAGTTGATCTTCATTGCGTATCTCTTGAGCTTGGAGAATGGAAGAATTTCCTCGTCCATGGTTTGAATGTAACAGCACAGGACGCCAACAATCTTATTAAATTTTTTTGCAAATTAAGATTTAGATTTCTTAGTTGGTCACTTACTACATTTACTTGTTAAATACCTCAAGTGTCTCGATATCCTCTGCAAGAGCGCATAATCCGTGAGAAATTATTTTCTCCAGAATCCACTCCAAGTCAACCAACACGTCGTCCGAAGGCCACAGACCGAGGGTGAATTCATCCCGACAGAAATAACTTGACAGATGGGAGACAACTTTGGAAATGTCGTCAGAAATGATGTGCCTCGTCCTGATTTTGCTATTAAAATTTGAATCACTTTCATTGTTGTTGGCTGGGGTGGACATCTTGTTTATAGATGTTAGGCCAAGTGAATGATGTGTGCTTATCATAAATCCTAGATTTTGTATGGTCGTACAATTCAGATTACATATGATGAATTCCATACTACCCTCCTAATGATAATATTATCAGTGGTTACATATTTCTGTCAATTACTCATTTCTGACCACGAGTTGAGTTGATAGCCCACATGTAAAGGAATTAAGTACTCATGCAGAGTAACCTTAGTTCATAGATAAACTGAATAAATAACTGCCATAAAATGATTCTCAAGTTTTGTTTTCATGCTTTTCGCTCGTCATCACAGAACATTGGCTCCTCCACAAAAGTGTACGTGACAATAGTGCCCACGTAAATTTATTTTAGTTTAATTTTTAAAAATATATTTTATTCATCATACGACATCGAGGACATTTATGTCGTGGGGAATTTTTGTCATATATTTGATCAATAAAATGTACTAGTTTATCTCCACCCATTAAATTTACGTGGATACTGTCGTCGAGACACAAATGTCGCGTACACTTCGCTCGCCGAGTTGGCGATAAGTAACAAAAGGATCATGACTGATCGATTAGCGACCCCACCACAATGAAATTCTGGATCTTCATGTATTTTGCCCAGGTTTTAGTATAAATGCATATGTATATATTTATGTAATCATAAACAAATTGCCTTTAAGTTGCACATTGAGACAACAAGGGTATGGAATGTGAGGAATAATTTCTTGTTAAGTGAGATTTCAAAATGGTTGAGGAATTATTTGTAATTTTAATCAATATTTATTGAAACACTTAAATATTTACTTTGAACAATCATTAGCTTGAGCCGCCACCCCCACCACCTCCCCCTCCACCCCCACCACCTCCACCCCACCCCCTCCTCCTCCTCCACCACCCCCACCACCCCCACCCCCACCGGCCCCTCCTCCCCCACCGGCACCCCCTCCCCCACCGGCCCCTCCTCCCCCACCGGCACCCCCTCCCCCACCTCCCCCACCGGCGCCCTCTCCAGCAAATAAGATGTTTTCTATATGCACATCACAATTACCACATTTTATCATAAATACTATATGATTATTAAATCAAATAAATATATTATCGCTAAATACCCTTCCCAATTCCAAAATTATGCATCTACAAGAAAAATAATTATGTCAACTCAAGTTATAAACAAATTTCCCATTATCTTTTTTACGGATTACCTTTTAGACAAAAAAAAATTGATCACAATTGCTCCTAGCGGTTTCGTCTGATACGGTATACAGTGTTCAGATGACTGTTTGCTTCCTAATTTTACCTGGTCAATTTATGCTAAAGTTTGCAGCACTCAATCCAACCCACATATGTACTTATCGGTAATGAATGTTAGATGAGAAAGATGCCATCATTGTCCAAAGTTTTTGATCATGCATTGAACTCTGGGTATCTATGCGTCATACATACATATGTACAAACGTTATGCAATTAATAAAAAAATAATTATTTTTTAACTGCACGTTCAACGCGGTGACCAATTCCCGTCCATTGTGCTTCTCACTATCTTATTGTCAAATAGTGATACATATAATTCTCTTCTTTTATACATCGCAAATTTCATAATAATTATGTATGCATGTTGCAAGAAACTTGGAAAATAATTAATTACTCATTCCTTGGTCATAAGATCAACTACATTAATCAGTAGAGGATGTTATGTAAATATTGGTGCTATGAATAAATTCGAATTGCAGCATACTATTATTTATACACTATTGTAAACCTAGCATGCTTATTTCAAAATAAATGACGTGATAATGAAAATATACTTAATATAATAATTCATTTCAACCCGTTACCCCCACCTACTCGATAAGATTTGTCGGCACATTCCCACAAAGTGGGTGAAATTGCCTTTATACAATTATGCACAAAATATTTAAAGTGAACGAGTTTCCTTCACTGAAATTAGTTATCGTTCCTCCCAATTTGGGAGGAACAATGAGCCAGCAAATTAACAATGTCTGCGGATAAGATTGATCCCCACCGGTTTACTCGTCATATCCGTTAATTGTTTTTCACTCGATACAATCGCCAATTATCACAAAAAAGCGATATTGACACGGAAATTGTATTTATATTACTTCAAAATGTTTGAGATTATGTTATTATGTGTGTATTCAAAATTAATTGTGTCTTGATCTGAAAAGCATGCAGTGTAAACTGATGATTTGCGACATTTGAATAAACTAAATATTCAGTAAAAGGCGAATCTTGCGGGCATTTTCCTCTAAAAACTTTAACATGCATTGTGACCACCTGCAAGGTGCGAATTTATGTTTTGGACATGACCAATAAGTTTATTAATGAGATCGCGAAATAAAAGAATCGTTGAAAAATCAAATTTAATTGCAACAATATTTATTCAAGTATTTTATAATATTTCTTCCCAACATTATTCAATTATTTGTATCCGCTTCCAGTAAATCCGCTTCCGCCACCACCACCCCCGCCGCCACCGCCTCCTTCAGCGGCGTTTAGGATGTACACTATGAAAAGGTATATTAAATTAATCAATATTTTCATATTATGTAATAATTCAAATAAATTATAATTGTCGCCAACTACCATTCCGAATTCCCAAGTTATTCATCTGTAAAAAAAATTATTAATTAAATATACATATATATCCATGCATTCGCTATAAATAATTTTTCCATAAAATGTTTGTCTGATTACCTTTCACAAAAAAAGTTGATCACAATCCTTCCAGCAGTTTAATTTGAATGAGGTAAGAAATTTACAGGATCCGTGTTCTGATATCTTTTCCCTTCTGAGGCTAAACCTGAGAAAAGGGTGCTGAATTTATACTAAATTTTTCAAACCATCATAAATACTGGTCACTTATACATATATAAGATGTATAATTGTTGTCATTGTCCAAAGATTTGCATTTCCAGATGAAATACCTCACTATGCTAAACGTTTTAGAAGGTATATGAATTATTTTATGATATTTGTAACTGTCATTTATTGAGTTCATCGGACCATTCCTTAGATAACGCCTAGCTAGAGTTGATAAATTGTTTGCACACCACAGTTCCGGCTTGTGTATGTACATATGATGATCAGCATACATGACTACTTTGAAATCAGTTTTTTCGGGATACCTTTTGTGTAGAATGCTAAATAAATAGGATGTTTTTTTATTTATTCTATGAGTATGGAATAGTCGAAGCATCGACTAATTGTCGCCGATGATGGTGACTTAGTTTACACCTACACGAAGAAAATCGAGTATCGCTAATTTCCCAGAAGCCACAAAGATGAATGTTTCAAGTAAATATTTTCATAGTTATTTTTGGACATAGTGGGATGAATTTTTTCAATAATTGATTTTATTGACCAAGATATCGATGTCAAATTTGTACATCATCATCAGGATCGGAAAATTGAAAATCAGAATTTAAAAATTAAAATATCTTAAAATTTTACGTTTTTAAAATAAGAGTACGACACGTCGTGTGTAAATGGTTTTTGATGTAATTGTCATTTATTTCTGATTGAATTAATCGAACCAGTACTTATGTACGCTTAAACTTAATTCGAGAACGTTTTCCATCTTGAAAAAATATATAAATGACCAGTATTGAGTCAATAAAAATGCAAACGTAACTTAATAGCTGAACGTATTTTGTCCTGCTTACTGTATGCCTACCCTTTATGTTCAGGAAACCACACAAGTTCCCACGAACAATCGATACAGGATAATGCTTGATGAGTAATTATTTGTCAAGTTTTATGATGCATTCACTTAATGATATGTCCAGTAAATAAAATAAACAAAGGTAACTACAGATGCATGATTAAGTGCGCCACTGTCATAGCATTTCAGGACAATGACAAACGTTATGGGTGGAAATTGGTAACAATGGTATCGTATATTCCATAGGAGATCGACACGATTTCTATGAATTTTTCACCTTTAATTGTACATAAATGATAAATATCACAAGGGTTATTTATTAGATACATGTCGCCATTGTGGTAAAGCTGGCTGGATTTGATGGGCTTATCCGACACCTTTTACGTAACTAACCAATTTGACCAACCTATTTTATTTACTTGCTTTTTTGAGGTGGACGAACTACTCATAATTCTATTCATAACTGACCAGTTGCCGTTGCAAAATTTAGTATAAATTCAGCACCCTTTTTTCAGGTTTAAGCTCAAAAGGGAAAAGATATCAGAACAGGAATCCTGTAAACTGCTTACCTTATTCAAATTAAACTGCAGAAAGAATTGTGATCAACTTTTTTTTGAAAGGTAACCAGCCAAACATTTTATGGAAAATTTATTTATAGCGAATACCTATACAGATATGTTATTAATAATTTTTTTTGCAGATGAATAATTTGGGAAGTCCGAATGGTATTTGGCGACAATTATAATTTATTTGAATTACTATATAATATTAAAATATTGATTAATTTAATATACCATTGCACAGTGTACATCTTAAGCGCAGCTGATGGAGGCGGTGGGGGTGGTGGAGGTGGCGGCGGTGGTGGCGGCGGCGGTGGCGGCGGTGGCGGCGGGGGTGGAGGCGGGAGCAAGTAATGAAGATCCATCTTGAGAGGAAATGTTGCTACATTTGAATAATATTGTTTCGCTTAAAATTATCAAATAATTCTTGAACTATTCTTTTACACATCTATCGACTTCATTTAAAAATTACAATTCATGCCGTACGTTTCATAAAGCTAAACAAGATTCATTAAGATTTTTAAGAGTATTTAATTGATGGAAGTTTATGCATAACGGCTTAGAATTACTTATTAGGGAACTGTCTCATCAATCTATGAATGATTCTCTAGAAAAAGGTCGCTTGTTTTTCTCATATATCTTGTAGAATAAGAAATAAGAAAGACTTTTTTTTATCAAAATACAAAATGGCTCACTTATGTAATTTATTCCTCTTCTGCATATATTGCCAAAGATTTATGGGTGACCACAGAGGGAATACTTCGAAACATTCAAAATAAATCGACCAAATTATTCAAAGACCCTTACGGGATAAGGACAACTTTTTGGCTAATGCATTATTTTTCGCAATTTTACTTCTTGATCAGTTAGTTTAGACCATAAGCTTCAAGAATATATGCATATTAGCTCAGTAGCATTATCCATCATAAAATAATCTTTGTTCAAAGATGTTGATTTTCAAGCCCAAAATCAACAAAATAAATATATTTATTGTTACCACTGTATTTGTTGCATACATATGTACATATGTACCTGTATCGAAAAAATATAGATTATTTTGCATAATAAAAATTATAAGACATCCTCAAATAAATAATAAATTATTTCATTTGTCATCTTTCTTAATTATAATTTACAACGGTTGAAACTTGTCAAATGGCATCTTTAGTATCATTTCCTCGCATGATGTATGTATCTCAGAAATGTATTCCTTTTAAATTTAAAAAAATTTCTCATTAAGAAAATTCACACAATAACTCAATTCGCGTGAATGATTTCCTTTATGCATTTTCTTATTAAGATTACATATATGTATGAATGCAATGCCCAATGTAATCTTGATATAGTTATGTATGATCAAAAGATTTTTCAGTAATAGCAAAAATCATATTTCGCAGTGACATCAGACAATGCAAAGTGTCTGATATATAAGGAGAGTAGGCAATTTGCAATGTTCTACTGCTGCTTGTCATCTCTAATTGATGTGGGTGATACCGACATCCTGAAAAATTACGCTACCACAATATATCAACTTATTAGCTGGTAAACAATTGGAATTATGAATGTACGTCAGAGGCGTCGGATAAGCCCATCAAATCCAGTCAGCGTTCCAAATAATTATGACGGACATACCTAGTCAATAAACTTTGTGAGATTTGTCATTCCCAATGAAAAGGAAAGGTTAAACGTTTTGATCATACATACATTGAACTCCGTATGACTTATTATGCGTTAAGCTATAATTAGTACGAAAATAATCATGTATGGTTATCTTTATTTTACTGGGAATATCATGGCAAGTGAACAAGAACCTTGCCCAAACACTATCGCTTGTTTATAACTGCGTAAATCTGATTAACTAGACGCTCAAAAACTATAACTACTTTAATATGCAATATCAACAAACGCCTAACGAAATCTCACAAGTACAAAGATTAGTACTATTATTTTTTGAAAAATGATTCGAAAGTTTTATATAAGTACTAACTTATAAGCACGTATGTTTTGCTAATTTGAAAAGTAATTTATTAACTAAATAAAAATGTGATTTTCCCTTTTGATCCTAAACTTTAGTGGGTATAGAAAGATCCAATAGTTTACAAATTTGGTTCACTCATTGTTCTTATGTTTCCCATTTCAAACATAAATATTCAAAATTGTTGCCCTTCAGGGTATATATTTTTCTATTTTTTCCTCAAATATTGGAAATGCGGATCGTATAGTATGTTGCTACCCAGGGTCAATGTAAATTATACGGCTCGTGAGGTCAGGCCTTCGGTGTTAGAAGGAATCGGGAAAAGCACAATGACCGCCTTAAAAATATAGCCCATGCCGGTTTTCGAAACTTAAAATAGTTTTAGAAATTTCAAGCTTAAATTGCTTAAAACATTAAGTTTGAATGATCGGGATGCAAGATAGAGTAAAAAGGTCGGCGGAGTTACATCATTTGATTATAGGACCATAACAAATATTTGGAACTATATTTAAAAATAAATAATTTATGTCGTTTTAGCCAAGGGAGCAGCCTGCGGGGGCAAATTTCTTGACTGAAACTCCTTGACTGGAATTGCTGAGGGTCTTGGAGGGGTGTCCACTTTTTGACTATTTTTTTCGATAACGGCCTTACTTGCAAAATTATGTCAGGGTTATCGAAAATTCAGAATGTGTCAAATATTTTATAATTGGCTCTTTGTACGTCTATCTACGTCGAATATTTCGACATGGATGTAGATGGCAATTAAAGGCGTATCAATGAGTGCTTTTCCATATCGTTTATCATATGTCAAATGCAATCCATAAATAAAACTTAAATATTCTACTATTAATTAATATTATTTTATTTTTACTAAAGCGCACAACATACTTGAACAGTGAATGTGTAAAACAAAACTTATCTCAATACATATTTAAATAAAAATCGAATTTTTTCAAAAAATATTTTATATTTTTCTAAGCACAACCTCAATTAGCAAAAACTGTATTCCACCACTGTATGTTACTGACAAAATGCGTACAACAATTCAATTTATGAACGTAAAATTGACAATTAATATTTAAGAAAAATACCAAACTCCTACCCCTCTCAATACTTTCATGAGAGCCGTCAAACCCCTTGACCCCCATGACCTCCCATCCCAGTTCCAGGTTGACCGTCTTGACCTCTGCATCCCGGTGCCCCTCCATCACCACCTCTTCCCCCACCTCCAATCCCAAACCCAGTTCCAGGTTGACCGTCTTGACCTCTGCATTCCGGTGCTCCGCCATCACCACCTCTCCCACCTTGACCACCACCCCCTCCCCCAGTTCCGGGTTGACCGTCTTGACCTCTACATCCCGGTGCTCCGCCATCACCACCTCTTCCCCCACCTCCAATTCCAAACCCAGTTCCGGATTGACCGTCTTGACCTCTACATCCAGGTGCCCCTCCATCACCACCTCTACCTCCTTGACCCCCACCCCCTCCAATTCCAAACCCAGTTCCGGGTTCACCGTCTTGACCTCTGCATCCCGGTGCTCCGCCATCACCACCTCTTCCACCTTGACCCCCACCCCCAAACCAAGTTCCAGATTGACCGTCTTGACCTCTGCATCCCGGTGCTCCTCCGTCACCACCTCTCCCACCTTGACCCCCACCCCCTCCCCCAGTTCCAGGTTGACCGTCTTGACCACTACATCCCGGTGCCCCTCCGTCACCACCTCTACCTCCTTGACCTCCACCAATCCCAAACCCTCCACCTCCTTGACCACCTTCACCAGCACCACCACCTCCGCCTATTGTCATGAAATTTTGTGTGTTTAACCAAATATTTATGATTAAAAATCTTATTAAACAAGAATTACCACCACCACCGTTACCTCCTGAAATATAAAATTTCTATCAGTTTCTGTAATATTTTGTCATTTCAAAAATAAAATGATCCCCTTTATAATATTTGTTTGTTTCATGAATCCTATGTTATTATGCATTTTCAATGTTAGATAAATTGATAATCAACGTATATATCTATTTATGTCGAATATTTCAACACGTATATTATAATTATTATTAAAGCTGATTTATTGGCCACAAATATTATGTCATAAATACATACTTACAAAAAAAAACCTGATCAAACCCTACTACTTAGTGGGAAATGCTTAATAAACTTGTCGAATATTCATTACATAGTAAAATAGTGAGCCGTACAGTAATACTGCAATGCATAATATTATGCATCTATTCCAACATTACTTTATATCAACCAATTAAAGTATAATCAATCAATAACAGTGTGGAGCTGTATCGTTTTCATAAATTTTTTGAAAATAATTAAAATGATAACTTACCTGCCATATTTTAATTTCTGGAAAGGAATTTCCTCACTACACCATGAATTCAATTGAGCTGTGAATTAGTCAAGTTCAGTAAACTCACTGATTGCAATGCAGAACAGTTCGAACAGATATCGATATGCAGTGATAAGGTAAGTCTTTAGCCAGCTCCACGTATTTTCATGGCATGAAATCTATCTCCCAATGTAAAATTGTAGGATAGGGAACATGACCAGTTGCAAATGCATTTAACTAAGGAGCGAAACCCTTAATAAATATGTAAGGGTTTAAATCAGTCTAAATTTAAAAAATTTTCGACCTTTGACCTCATGACTTTGGTGCTGCGAGTGCGACCCTTTCATGTACATGGTCAACTGGCGAAGTCTGACATAATTTAATAATTAGGCATCAATATTCAAAAAAGAATATAAAACACTCCAAATAACAGACAAACAGACAGGCGAACGTAAAGTATCTTAGAGAAAAGGTGGTTCATTCCCTTCTTAATAATGAAACAACAATTAACAATATTCTTCGGATATAGTTAAACAATTTTTAGCAATTTTTTAACCAACTTTATTAATTATGCTTTCAGTATAAAAAAAACCAATTGTAATGACCACCAAATAACCTTCGATCCCACCACTGCATAACAATATCAATTTTGCACATTGCATTAAATTAAATGTAAAATGACTTCACTGAACTGTCAACAAAAATTGTAGTAGTTATTTTTCTAAAATTTAACTCTCTAATTGTTTTACTTTCGCGAGGGACAATTCCTAGAAAACACAATTTTTTTATACAAAAATAAAAACTTACCAATGAAAAATAACCAATGACTGATAAACAGAACAGATTTTAATTAAACTTTTTACCCCCTATAATTATACAGTCACTAAAACATCCTGTAAATACATACTTGTCTTCATTCAAGTTACTATTTACATACATATTGAATCATCAATGAAGGTCAAATGTGCAAGCTGTTTCATGGCATAAAAAAAATATATTAACCTGTACCACCATCTCTTAACAGTGCATAAATTGCAATGTTTTTTGCCTGGAGTTGTAAATATGTATGTATGATATGGTTTCATGCAATAATCTACTATCCCATCATTTGTATATAGGCTTTACAATTATATGACTCGTTTACTGTAGCAAATTCGTCGCAAGTACATACATAATATTTCACACTTGATTTCCAGATCTGTGCATCCTGACACCGCTTATACACACATTTATGAATGAACACCCATCTTTCCGCAGTGCACAAATTGCACTGGTTTTTTTTGCCTTGATGGGTTTAATGCAAACCACTATGATCATTATCTGCACCGTTTAGTTTTTATGTATTACTAGCCTATAAGCCCGTCCCAAGACGGGCCAACGAACAGAACTACATAATATCTAAATTTTATTACATTGTAGTATTGAAAGAACCTCGTCGAACTTTGTACACGCCAGTTTAGAAATATTGGGGTCATCTAACATGGTCTCCATGAGTAAAAGGTTTTCCATTTGGACTACATATATTTTTGTTGCAACCCACTAATTAACTTGCTGAGTTTGAAAAAACCAGTGTGGGTCACCCAACAGGGTCACCCCAACTGAATTTTTTCCCATTCGGGTGTTGTATTCTTCCACTAGAATCCATCAGCTATCAACATACCAAATTTCAGCTCGATGCGATGAGTTTAAAAAAACCAGTGTGGGTCACGCAACAGGGTCACCCCAACTGAAGATTTTCCCATTCGGGTGTCGTATTCTTCCATTAGAACTGACCAGCTATCTGCATACCAAATTTCAACCCGATACGATGAGTTTGAAAAACCAGTGTGGGTCACCCCAACTGAAGATTTTCCCATTCGGGTGTCGTATTCTTCCATTAGAATCCACCAGCTACCAACATACCAAATTTCAGCTCGATACGATGAGTTTAAAAAAACCAGTGTGGGTCACCCAAAAGGGTCACCCAAACTGAAGATTTTCCCATTTGGGTGTCGTATTCTTCCATTAAAACCCACCAGCTATCAATATACCGAATTCCAGCTCGATACGATGAGTTTGAAAAAACCAACTGAAGATTTTCCCATTTGGGTGTCGCATTCTTCCATTAGAAGCCACCAGCTATCTGCATACCAAATTTCAACCCGATACGATGAGTTTGAAAAACCAGTGTGGGTCACCCAACAGGGTCACCCCAACTGAAGATTTTCCCATTTGGGTGTCGCATTCTTCCATTAGAACCGACCAGCTATCTGCATACCAAATTTCAACCCGATACGATGAGTTTGAAAAACCAGTGTGGGTCACCCAACAGGGTCACCCCAACTGAAGATTTTCCGATTTGGGTGTCGCATTCTTCCATTAGAACCATCGAGGTAGTATAATATATAGAGACCAGAACGTTTTCCTTTGTTCACGAAATAGAAAACCATGTGATATTTTGATTTTTACAAAAAAAAGTAAACAACAGCCACCACCATCACCAACCACCACCACCACTTACCATTGCCACACTGGTGGATGATGATGATGATGATGATGGATTTCGACAGAACTGCCTGACGATGCGTGGAGACTTTTAGTAGTCGACCCACGCATCGTAAGGTGGCTCAAACGCATCAAATTTGTGACGAGTGGGTGCAATAAATGGTCTTAGTATGCCTTGATTAGAACCCACCAGCTATCTGCATACCAAATTTCAGCCCGATACGATGAGTTTAAAAAACCAGTGTGGGTCACCCAACAGGGTCACCCCAACTGAAGATTTTCCCATTTGGGTGTCGCATTCTTCCATTAGAAGCCACCAGCTATCTGCATACCAAATTTCAGCCCGATACGATGAGTTTAAAAAACCAGTGTGGGTCACCCTACAGGGTCCCAGGTATCAGAACCAGAACGAAAACCAGAACCAGAACGAAAACCATAAACTAAAACCAGAACCCAAAACCAAAACGGAAACCAGAACCAGAACTAAAACCAGAACCAAAACCAGAACCAGAACCAAAACCAGAACCAGAACCAGAACCAGAACGAAAACCAGAACCTAACTCCTTATTGAAGAACGTCGTTATTAATCCTGCTCTCTGATTGGCTCAGGCAAACTGCCAACAGCCAATCAGAATGCTGGAATGTCACGGAAAATTCAGCGTTACGGATTTTTCGAAATTATAATATAGATTACCACACGCGCTGAGCCACATATTGTCGCTGTTCGTGCAAAAGTTGTCGGACAGATTTAAGCCTAACATAATTTTATATGCGTAATAAATAGTCTTTTCTTAAGGCTTAAAACAATTTGACAACTTTTGCACGAACAGCGACGATATGTATGTATGTATGTACATATTATTATCAACAAAGCAATAGTATGACTCATGGTATGCATTAATGTTACATAACTTGTAGATATAACTTATCACGAGTAATTTAATACACTTGATTTCCACAACTATGATATAAAGCGACACTGCTTAGACAATTCTGACGGAAAAGTAAACACACAAAATGTTTCAATGCTAACAGATTGGAAGTACATGGATTGATGAATTTAGTTAATTTAAAATAAGTAAATTGAATATCCTAAGATTAAGAAGTAAGCTATAGATAACTTGCTAGAATTTATTTAACAAAATGCTTAAACGGTTAGCTAATAATTCAGTTACATATATTTAAATTCGATACAATAGGTTTCATAGTTGTTTCAGGGGAGAGATGGTGGTAGAACTGAAACATGAAAAATATTCTCTAACCCCCATATCTTCAAGACAGTGATTTACATGCATTCTAGTCAGCAAGGTTTGGTTGTGCCTTTAAATAGCTTAATTATCATATAATTGATCAATTTCTAACTATATAATTTGTAGGGTGGCAGACCTACCATAATTAGAGGTCTGACCAGCGGCGGTGCTAATTAATTGTCCTCTCCCAGTTGCTTTCACTGTTGCGAAATATAACTCTTGATTAGTTAGAAATTTACCCACACACCGAAATAACTGCAACCTTATCCATTCCAGGCCCACATAATCATCCACAAAACTTTTTGACACGTGACATCCTGCCACTTTCCCTACTTTGATAACATCTCCAAATAACAACACAACATTTCACTCGGGACTTTTTTCTGGAGCATCATTCATAGATTGATAAGACGGTTCCCCAATAAGGAATTCTAAGGAGTTATGCATAAACTGCCATCAATTAAATACTTTTAACAATCTTAATGAACCTTGTTTGTCTTTATGAAACGTACTGCACGATTTGTAATTTTTAAATGAAGTCGATAGATGTGTACAGGAATAGTTTAAGAATTATTTGATAATTTTATGTGAAACAATATTTATTCAAATGTTGCAATATTTCCTCTCAAGATCTCTATTACTTCCAGCCGCGCCTGTCGCCAGCGCCGCCGCCACCACCACCGCCTCCGCCGCCACCCCCGCCACCACCACCGCCGCCGCCGCCACAGACGCCGCCGCTACAAACGCCACCCTTGCCGCCGCCCTTGCCACCATCCCCACCGCCTCCATCAGCGGCGTTTAAAATGTACACTATGAAAAGGTATATTAAATTAATCAATATTTTAATATTATGTAGTAATTCGAATGAATTATAATTGTCGCCAAATACCATTCCGAATTCCCACATTATTCATATTCATCACAATTCTTCCTGGACTTTAATTTGAATAAGGTAAGCAGTTTACAGGATTCCTGTTCTGATATCTTTTCCCTTTTGAGCTTAAACCTGAGAAAAGTGTGGTCAATTTATACTAAATTTTGCAACGGCAACTGGTCACATATGAATAGAATTATGAGTAGTTCATCCACCCCAAAAAAGTAAGTAAATAAAATACCTTGGTCAAATTGGTTAGTTACGTAAGAGATGTCGGATTAGCCCATCAAATCCAGTCAGCTTTACCACAATGGCGACATGTATCTAATAAATAACCCTTGTGATATTTATCATTTATGTACAATTAAAGGTGAAAAATTCATAGAAATCGTGTCGATCTCCTATGGAATATACGATACCATTGTTACCAATTTCCACCCATAACGTTTGTCATTGTCCTGAAATGCTATGACAGTGGCGCACTTAATCATGCATCTGTAGTTACCTTTGTTTATTTTATTTACTGGACATATCATTAAGTGAATGCATAATAAAACTTGACAAATAATTACTCATCAAGCAGTATCCTGTATCGATTGTTCGTGGGAACTTGTGTAGTTTCCTGAACATAAAGGGTAGGCATATGTACAGTAATAATCAGGACAAAATACGTTCAGCTATTAAGTTACGTTTGCATTTTTACTGAATCAATCGTGGTCATTTTATTTTTATTTTTTCAAGATGGAAAACGTTCTCGAATGTAGAATTTGTATATGTACTTCTTACGAATGTATCACTTGGAAATATGTATATACATTTAAATGCATGTAAGTTCGTCCCGTTAAATTGATACAGATTTCGTAATCAAGTGTTTGCAAATTTTTTAGCAATTTTTTACGAAATCCTATGTAGCAGGAACAAGTTCACCTAATTAGTTTAGGAAAACTTGTGTAAAATATTCTTTTACCGTATTTCTTTCTTGCCTATTTTTAACCGGACCCAGGACTATGTAAGTATATACCCATACATATTGTCACTTTACACTTACGCGATACGTACACTTATGCGATAGTCTTCTCAAATTTATCTAATCTTAAAGACAAGTAAAACATAAGAAATTAGGAATCAAGATTTGTAATTTGTAATTTATGAGCGTCTACTTAATCAGATTCACGCAGTTATTCAATTATCAAACGATAGTGTTTGGGTAAGGTTCATATTAACTTGTCATGATATTCCCAGTAAAATAAAGATAACCATACATGATTATTTTTGTACTAATAGCTTAACGTATAAGTCATCGACTTATGGAGTTTAAATCGTTTCAATGTGTGTTTGACCCCTCATTTTAATTAAGAATGACAAATCTCACAAAGTTTATTGATTCGATCTGTCCGTCATAATTATATGGAACGCTGGCTGGATTTGGTGGGCTTATCCGACGCCTCTGACGTACATTCATAATTCCAATTGTTTACCAGTTAGGTTGATATATTGTATCTAGTAGCGTAATTTTTCAGGATGTCGGTATCACCCTTAATTAGAGATGACAAACAGCAGTAGAATATTGCAAATTGCCTACTCTCCTTATATATCAGACACTTTGCGTTGTCTGATGTCATTGCGAAATATGATTTTTGCTATTACTGAAAAATCTTTTTATCCTACATAACTTTATCAAGACATTGACACTACATTGGCCATTACATATATTCATGTAAGCTTAATAAGAAGATGAATAAAAGAAATCATTCACGCAAACTGAGTTATTTTGTACATTTTCTCAATGAGAATTTTTTAAATTAAAAATGAATACATTTCTGAGAGACATCATGCGAGAAAATGATACTACAGATGCCATTTGACAAGTTTCAACCGTTGTAAATTTTAATTAAGAAAGATGACAAATGAAATTCTATTTATTTAAGAATGTAGCTTAATTTTTATTATGCAAAGTAATCTATTTTTTGATGCAGGTGCATATGTACATATGTATGCAACAAATACAGTGGTAACAATACATATATTATCTAATTTTATAAAAGTTACGCCATTAAATAATTGCACGCTGTTACCAAGTTAGATTTTATGGCCACCGCCACTTATGTAACTCAAGTGATTTACAAATTTCAATAATTTGGTCGATTTATTTTGAATATTTCGAAGTATTCCCTCTCTGTGGTCATCCATAAATCTTTAGTAATATATGTAGAAGTGAAATCAATTACATAAGTCAGCCATTTTGTTTGTCCATTTTTTAGTTAGATTTTTTTAAATAAAAAAAAGTGTTTCTTAATCTCTTATTTCTTATTCTACAAGATATATATATGAAAAAGACCAGCGACCTTTTTCTGGAGAATCATTCATTCATAGATTGATAAGACGGTTCCCTAATAAGTAATTCTAAGACGTTATGCATAAACTGCCATCAATTAAATACTCTTAAAAATCGTAATGAACCTTGTTTTGCTTTATGAAACGTACGGCATGAGTTGTAATTTTTAAATGAAGTCGATACATCTTACAAGAATATAGTTCCAGAATTATTTGTCAATTTTATGTGAAACAATATTTATTCAAATGTTACAATACTTCCTCTCAAGATCTTTATTACTTTCTCGCCCCACTTCCGCCGCCACCGCCGCCACCGCCGGCTTTACCCCCGTCACCTCCAGTCCCATGGGAGCCATCGCCACCACGCCCCCCATCGAAACCAGGTGAACCCCCACGTCCCCCACTTCCAGCCCCTGTGCCCGTTCCAGGTTGACCGTCTTGACCTCTACATCCCGCTGCCCCTCCGTCACCACCTCTTCCCCCGTGACCCCCTTTTCCAGCACCACCCCCACCTATGTATATAACGTCATGAATTACTTATCTATATACCCATGCATTTATAACTACAAATATTATAAGATGCAAATTACCACCGCCACCACCTCCTGAAATTTACAAAGCCCATTAGTTCCTCACTTTTTTACAATTTTTATAACATTATGTATCTCTAACACGTTCACCTCGCCAAACTTATCATTTTTCCTTTATACCTCCTCACAATATTTGTTTGTTTAATGAATTTCGTTTTTTATACTCTAATTTTCCCAAATAGTTACCTGACATGTTTTATGTATAATTTACAAAAACGAAGCTTCCTCACTATGTACGCTATTTCAATCAAATTATTAAGTTTAGTGTTATCCACTCACGATCTGTAAGTTCTGTAAGCAGACTGATTCCAATGCAGAACTTGATGTATAGACAAATATATGTGTTCGCTTATGTGTATGTATCATAATCAGATATGATAAGGGTAGCATGACGCTTTTAACAGGAACCACCCAATATCTAATTTTTTTCAAAGTTATCACGGATTTTAATTATGTACTAGTATTAAGTATGTATAGACAATGGTTTACATATGCATTCTAGTCAGCACGGTTAGGTTGTGCCTAAATAACTTAATTATCATGCACATAAATAATTGATCAATTTCTAACTATATAATTTGTGGGGTGGCCGACCATACCATAATTAGAAGTCTGACCAGCCGCAGTGCTAATTAATTGTCCTCTCCCACTTGCGTTTTGCAAAATATGACTCGCGATTAGTTAGAAATTTACCGACACACCGAAATAACTACAACCTTATCCATTCCAAGTCTACATAATCATCCACAATACTTTTTGACACGTGACATCCTGCCACTTTCCCCACTTTGGTAAACATCTCCAAACAACAACACAACATTTCATATCTTTCTTTCAGGATAAAAAATAGAATCTTTTTTCCCAACTTAAAAATCATATCTATCTACATATTACTTTTTCCTCATAAATATACTTACTTTCCCCCTGCTGTGTTTCTCTTTACAACCAAACCACCCAACCAGAAGTAAAAGTGGGTCCAACTCTGCCTAGATAAATAAATGTAAACAAGTCGTCTCCATCAGTAACAAAATAAGAGACACTCTCAACTCTGTAGGATCCTGGGGCGGGGGGGGGGGATAAGATGTTAAAAAGATGTCGACATCTTGTTATGAATTTTTTAGCGGAGTAAGTATACAATGCACAATCACTTCCTGCCTGTAAGAGTGGGCTGGGCAGAAACGATGTGACGGATTTTTTGGCACAGATTTCTTAGAATTTTGTATCCAAATCGACGAACACCTAAATTTGTGCGGCTTGGTAATAATCGGTATATGTGGTAATAAATTCTGGTATCAATTCATTACCACCACACGGTAACATTTTCGTATTACCACCACGGTACAAAATTATAATCTAGGCACTCAGGTAAATTTTATAACCGCCTGGTAACAAAATAATTATTGTGTTATAAAATTTAGTTAAGAGTCATAATAGATTTACATACATTGGTCAACTAATTTATCCAAACCTGACCCCGTAAATCTGTTTTATATATTCCCATCATATCTGCACTGTCCCCATCCTACCGAAAATCATAAAAAAATCTGTATCCACTTTTTTTTCTTATACAAGTTTTCACTCCAAATTCCATTCCAGGCTTCTCTTTTCTTCTGCATGACAAGTAATGTCATCCTCCCAAGGCAAGAAGACCTGCCTAATAAAGCATAAAGCGGAATAGCTACACACAAAAAATTGACGATAAAGCTTAGCTACCCCCATTTCGAAAAGTTTGGCTCTTTATTTCGCAATAATATTAGAAAATGTGGCAACTTTCGTCATTACGGGGTCATAAATTTGATTGTTTTTGAAACAAAGTAGTTCTATAATGGATAACGTTGCGACGGTATAAATTGCCTTGATCGGTAGAAATGTGAGATCGTTTTGTGTTTCGTAAATCGTAAAACGCAACATTTTCATTGTTCTGTCTAGGAAAGGGTACGAAATCAAAATTTTAATTAATTTCAATTTTTAAATATCAATTATGTGAAACTGATAAAAAAATCTTTTAAAATTTTAAAACACAAAGTGTGAATCTTTGGCGACTGAAAATACTAGTTTGGAGAAATATATTACACTATTTTAAATTAGATGAATATTGTCTGCACAATAGTGCAAACACGTAAATATTTCGATGTCGTCGCTATTCGTGCAAAAGTTGGCGGATCAAAAACCTGTCGGAAACCAAAGTGGTCGGATTGTTTTTCGGGTAACGTGAGACTCCATAACTATAACCTGCAGTCACGTTTTTCCCGCATTTTGATCCGTCCCCTTTGGTTTCCGACTGGATTTTGATCCACCAACTGTGGTTTCCGACTGATTTTTGATCAGCCAACTTTTGCACCAACAGCGACGATATGATTTTCGAAAAAAATTGCATTTACTGTAATCCTAATTTTTTAATCGCTGTTAGTAAAAGTGCTCGAAATATATAAATATGTAAGTCGGAGAAAAAATAGTTTACCAATTTTCCCTACTTCTCGACTTAACATAAGAAATAAGTCATGTATAATTTCAAAATTATATTAATTTCACATCCCACTATTTATCCAATCCTACGACACATTTCTGTCTCCCGTACCTCCCCCCCTAAAAAACGAAGCCCTCCTACCTCTCCCATAAAACCCATTACTTCCTCACTCTATCCCCCCCTTCCCAATAATATAAACCAATAATCCCAACCCTCTCTCTCTCCACTTTGATGAAATGTCGTTCTCGTAGTAAAATTGCCAATTTACGAACCCAATTCCGACACAATTTCACCCATTATGGAACACCCACATCTACTAAAATAGCTGCTTCAGAGCGTGGTAATAATTGTGAATTGAATTGTTTCCATTGCACCGGAGGAAATAAATCTGAACGAAAACGGGGTGAAATTGCCCATTTTATTTGCCATAAGTGTTCATTCCCCTTCTTTTTTTATCGATACTTTGAGGATATCAGTCAGCACGTCAAATCCAGGATGGTGTGATGGGGTACAAGAATCAATCCCATACGGTAATAATCTCATCCTATTTTATTTTCGGGATCTTTATGTCTCGTTCAATTTTACGGGACAAGGTCTAGTTCGAGCCGAGGTGTGGATTGGATTGGGATGGGATAGAATCTAGTATCAGATTTTTTTAGGTATCTATCTCTTTTTACAGGTTTTCCCCATTTTTTGACGACACGGCGATGTCATGTCGTGTTGTGTCGGTGTCATCGTCAGGCAAACGAGGAGGAAACAAGGCGTGTCACCTTTTTTTAAGGAGATGGTAGGATAACACGAATCAAATTATTGTTATGTTGGTATGATTGTTGGTGTTGGGTGGTAGAAAATGTAGATTTTGTAGGTAAAGTGGGCCTGCTCACGTCAAGGATTTAATAATTTTCGTAAAAAAATTGAACCCAGAGATTTTATACAGGTATTGTAAAACATGGGTGAACATATAATTGTGGTGGATGGAAATTATAAAAATTTCATAATTTTCATCAATTCAGACTTAAATGCATACACAGTTAATTACTTTACCACCATATTAAACTCGAAACTTACCTGTTATTTCATAGTTAAATACATTAAATTTCTAAATAACTGTACGTTGACTTTAAACTTTTACAATATACAATTAAATTTATTAAAACAAAACACATTTAAGATTAATATGTATATTTATAAAAATAATTATATTTCTACTTTCTTCTATAATAACTTTAACTTCTCAATATAATACTTTAACACCAATTCAATATGACCCAATTTTGTACACCAATTCTAAAAAAATTTCGAGATAACTAACATTATTATAATTTGTTTACTTCATAATTATGTACAAATTCTTAATAAATAATTTACAATTCGTACATAGTTTACATGAAATTGAGAGAAACTATTATTATTGTTAGCAGAATAATTTACCAAGCACACTCTGAAATATCAAATTTTCACTTGCTTTCACATTTAAGCCTATAAATCTACTATAGATCATTTTTGCATAAAACTGCAATTACATATACTGGATTAACCTACTTAATTACGTAAATTAAGATATATTTCTTACATAAATACAAAACGGCATTTAGCCAACCCCATTTCCTAAATAATTATTAACCCCCTTCATAATTAGTCATTCTACCGATCCATTTTCCCTCACTGGGAAAAGTATCACCTGCAAATATTCTGATCTATTTTCATACATCATTTCCGTAATTTCACCCCAATCCGGTATAAATAATGTACATTTCATACAGTAATCCGACCTTCTCATCACAAACATTATCCCACCCCAAAATAATATTTACCTTCGGCATACTCACCTCGACATACATATACTCATTTTTAACTCATTCTTACAATTTTTCTAAAAATTGCGACCACTACCTAAAAATTTGCACAATTTTACTTTAAAAAATCCTACAATTTCCCTAATTTTCGCAACTTCAAAAAATCCAGAAAATTTTCAAAATCATCCTCCAAACTTATACATAAAAACGCTTTAAATATTTTTTTTCAAATTTACCTACCTACAACGTGAATTCTCCCAATAAAATATTTATACAAAATCAATAATTTCTCCTGTCTCTTAACCAACCTACTGGACATCACTACAAGTTGGTGGGAATCATCATCCGTGGGCATCACTACTGGTGTCCCGAATTGAATAGAAAAATGACACCAACATTCATTCAGCACGACATGACATGGCAAGTAACGCTTCGAATTATTTTCCATATCGATGATGTCGACATACACACAATAAGAAGGAGGAGGCAGGTCAGGTGTGATTAATCAATGTCTCATTATTCCTTTATTGCCTGCCTACGTGATAAAAAGGAATTGTCTGCTCCTACCCGGGTAGCGTTATTCACCCGGGTATATATTTTTATCAACGTTTCACAAATGTGTGTATGAATGAGGTGAGCCAGGAAAGATTGTGAGTTACGGTTTCCTATCTACTTGATAAAAAAAGTATGTAGCAGGATTTTTTTTGGTCGGGAGGGAATTTGTGTTACATAATCATCTTTTTATGGTGTTTGTGTATTACAAGTATTCTTTTTGAGTTGTGCATATATTTTGTATGAAAGTATTTGATACGTGGATTAGCCTAAAATTGTTACTATTTTGATTCTAAAAATTTGCACAGTAATTAACCAACTACTTTTGTGAAAGGTTCATAATAAATGTGATAATGAAGTTTGGCAAATTGTTTTGTACCAAGTTAAATTATTTGGACATCCCCCACCTTTCAACAATAATTTAGTATGAAATTAAACGTGTCCATTTCTTAAACTGGTTGGAAAATTTGACATTTTATTTTATCCTGCCAAATCATTTATTCATCTTTAGCAGAGTTATTACATAAGTATATATGTTATTACATATACATACTCCTTGATAAGAATTTGGTTAATTATTAAATATAAAGGTACTCAGAGACTTTAAATTTTTTTACAACATGTTTCTTCCCTACATTACAAAAATCATCAAATAAGAAAATGCTGACAGTTTAATTGCATATATATTTTAAACGAAAAATAATTGTAACAAATTCGAATTTACTTAATTTACTATAATCCTACTAGTTCCTGCTATCTAACTTTACTTAAAATATAATTAATTCTCGGCACATCTCTTACCTGGCTTCAAAATAAATCAATTAAGTTTTTACATTCGTATTTCCTACCTTTACTCCCAATTCGCACTAATTTCACTCCTTTAGTCAAATCTACCAAAAATAATCTTATCCCCAAAATTTCAATAATTCTTAAAAAAATATTCATCCAACTTTCCCCAAAAGTTATCAACCTCCACAATTTAAAATTTTCTTTTAATACCTCCCCCCCCCATTTCTATTCCTCTTTACACAGCAAAATTACAATTTCCACACACAATTCCCACTCAACCCCAGGAAGGAATCGCTTCTCCTAAATAATAAATACATTCGTAGAGTTACATTCAGCAAATAAAATCTGTTCCCTTTCCTCCAAAAAGTGAATGTACAATCATCTCTTGAAATATTCACGACAAAATGTCTCTCTCTCTGGAATGGAACTACATTTTAAATGCGATTCCACTCTTGTTCTCAAGTGCCAGAGAGAGAGAGAGTCTGAAATTTTCTCCAAATCGGGGATTACATCGGCATCACGGGGTTACAAAATGTTTTCAAGTATTTATTACGAATTAAAATGATTTGGATAGATTTAGATAAATAAATTACGTTTTAAAGGACCAATTGTACATAGCAGAAAATTGGGAAATTTTTATTTAATAAAAATAATATTGTCGAGTTTAATTTGACGCCGCAGTATTTTATTTTATCATTTTATATCAATTAAGTGCAATACAAGGTAAACGACGTTGGTTTTTGTTGCAAAAAATAAGAATAAGTTCATTTTTGTAAATCATATTTTTTTCAAGTTTTACTTCCAAACCTCAATTTAATCCTGTCTGAAATAAAAATACTTTTTTAAATTATTTTTGTACCAGAAAAAGTCACCTTCCTATCCGGATTCTACTCTACTAAAGGATCCTTTTTGGTCGGTATGTATTTCTCCAATAAAAATTTACTTTACTTTATACCCGATAAATAAAATGGTTTCCCACCCATGTCGCTTCTTAGTGGCGGTTATGGATACGAGAACGTTCAACTTATTTCTGTACAAAATTTCCCCTCGGTCGGTGTTGATGATCTCCTCTCCTCAAAAGAGGACGAGGTGAAAGTCAAGATAATGAAATTTGGACAAGTTGAAACTTCAAAAGGCATTTTGTCACCCAGAGTGTAGTGTTCCTGATCAAAATCAGATTTCTAAACATGTGTCACCATCAGTCGTGTCAATTTTGTGCGTCACTTTCAACACTAACTCGCTCAGTTGAGAGAGAGAGATCTCTCCTCTTCTAGGAAAGAGAGGAAATTACAGTGTTTCGTGTGAAACGGGGAGAAATTGAGTTTTATGCAGGGCAGATTTTATTTTTTTCTAATATTTTAAACTCAATTTATAATGTCAAATATCTAGCAATACTTCATTTTTTTAATTTTTTTCCCAACGGATTTTGATACCAGTATACGACTCATTCACCTAATGAAGGATTAATTATTCAATTCTCCAAACTTTACTAAATACATATATAAATATATTTCTACATATATATAGCAATTTAATTAATTAAGGGGTTGCATTTCTACAATATATTTTTTCTAAACTTATTTTCTTCAATAAATTTATATAAAGTAAAACAATGGGGCTTTTCACGACCTTCGTAACTGTGGTTTCGTAAAAAAAATATTCGTAAATATACTTCATTTACAAGAGGTTGACGTGAAAGACCCTTCGTAAATAAATTTCGTAAAAATTGATTTTCCACATTTTTCTTACCTAATAGGATATGTAACTATGGTGCTTGAAAAATCACGATTTTTAATTCTTACGAAATTTTTTTACGAACGAAAAAGACGCCCCAACCTTGCGCATATTTACGAAGCTTCGTAAGCATGGAATTTTCGTAGATGTCGTAAATTTACGCTATTTACGTTATTTACGACAGTTACGAAGGCGACGTGAAAACCCCCAATGAAAATATTTGTTTTGGTTTTATACGAATACTAAGACAGGCATGCGAGATCTTTATAACATTATTGTTGTATACCGTAAATTCCATATATTTAATTCCGGCGTTGAAACTAATCCATAACATACAATAATTTACAATGTTTGAAAAAAAATTCCAACATTTTTATTAAACGTTTTTAAAAAAAACGTTTATTTTTCCCTCCTACCACAGAGCACCCTGCCAAATAAAACTCGACATCTATCCGTCTCATCATTCGGGGCAGAGAAGTTGTGAAATTGGTCGCATTTTACTTCCACTTTACTCTTTCCAGTGGATCTAGTCAAGTGGTGATGAAGTCTGACTACTGGCTTAATAACTGATCTCTCCAGTAAAAAGGAAATGTGACACTTTCTCTTCAAAATATTTTGGACGATTTACAAATTGTTTGTCTTTCCTAAGTGTTTATTTGGCTGTTGCTTTCTACAATTGTGTGATATTTGATGTGATCTCGAATATTTGGAAAATAAAGGCAAATAACTAGGAATGAAATGAATAACAAAATAATTTAACATACCCACTGCTTTCCTCGGTTTTAGATAGATAGTTTTTCTACGTATTTAATAAGTAAGGCGATACTTTTTAGATTACACATTTATTGTACGGTTTTGAATTTAAAAATGAATAAATCTGTACAATTTTATTTAATTACTACTTGTTGACCAAAAATTATGCTCCCTGGCTATCCCATTACAATCTAATTATAATAAAATAAGAAAATAAATTAATAAATAATGTTACTGACGTTTTGTTATCACAGTTTAAAATTCAAGTTTGCATAGTTAAGTTCTTAACAATTCTAAAAAACATGACTTTAACATTTTTAACATAACATTTTAAATTTTTTACGATTTTAATAACTTTTGAAACATTTAGAAAACTTAAAACTAATTTAAATTAAAGAATTGCATTCCTACATATCTAAAAATATACGTATATGAATAAAACAATTTACAATAAAATATCACAACCAATTTATAATTCCAAAAATTAAAAAAATAAAAATCCAACAAAAATCTCACTTTTCCTCTCTCTATCCCAACATCACCATCATCATCATCATCTTCCTTCCCACCACCACCACCACCTCAAAAGCAGATCCAGCCAAGACTAGACTTCTCCTCGCTCCTCGCTCCTCACAGAATACCCGGGTATCCTGAAAAGGAGAAAGAAAGGGCCGACTACTTTCTCTCTCTCTCCTTGTTCTGTGCCTCGGTGGGTTTGGGTTGCTGGAGAGCCTCAAATGTTACCACGGATTGGTGGGGAGGGAGGGAAACCGAGACCACGATTTCTTGTGAGGTAGCGAAGATTTCCGAAAACTCCCTCGCCCCTCCCCCACCAAAAAAACCACTGCCCCCAAAGAGATGCCACCGAATGCCCAATATCGGCAACCCAAAACTACCCCACACCACCGCCAACCACCACCACCACGGCTGCTCGTTCTCCTTTTATCTATCGCGTAATATACAGCCAAGCCAAATGGGGACAAGAAAGGAGAAAGTAGTATGCAACCCAAAAAGAAAGCACGGCTGGTTCATGAACACTAAATTTCAGGAGCGTAATGGAGCGAAAAGTGTATGAAAAAATATTTATGAAGTTTCTTATATTAATGTGAATTGTAGAATTATATATGTAAATTATTTTTCGTTATTTTTCCGATAGTGTACATCTAAGTAATTAACACCTATTATGTTAATATTTTTAGAAAAATATATTTGAAATAGAGAAAATTTGTATTTTGCTTTAAATTGTCGAACTTTCTCCAGCTGAGTAAATGCAAAGTATTTTTAAAGCAGACTTTTACTTCGCAAATTATATGAATTTAATAAAGAAGACTCTAATTGTATAAAAATTATTATAATTATCCACATAAATATAACATTTCAACCAAGCAAAAACCATGTCATGCTTCACCACCGAAAGTAGATAAAATAAGGATTTCAATTAAATATTAAGCTGTTTCAGGTACAGCTTCATTACGTCATTGCGGTGGAAATAAAATGTTGAAGCAATACATATCAAAAACGTTATCACTTCACTTCATCTCAAAATCTCAACTATGTATCCAAAATTTATTAAAATTTACAAAAATTTACAAAAATTTACAAAAATTTACAAAAATTTACAAAAACTTAATACATTCTCAAAAAAATAAATTTCCCCCACTTTTACCTACCCAACAAATTTAACAAAAAAAAACCTACAAAAAAATCCTTTCCCACACTTTCCCCATCACGAGAGAAAGTCGTCTTTCTCCACTCCAACTTTCTCCCATTCCCCTCCCTTGCTACGCTCACTTTCTCTTTCTCTCTCCCACTCGTCTCACAATCTTCAACCCTGATGCTTGTTTTTTTGGCCAACCCAACGCAACCCACCAACCTCTCGTTCCTCGGTTTTTCTCCACTCTCTCCCATAAGCAAGAGATGATGATGATGATGAAGATACGAAAAGTTGGTTAAGTTTTGGGTCCCCTTTTTGGTGGATTTGGTCCGCCACAGCGAGCGACCACTATACCGCACTATATATACTACGGTACTGTACTGTAATGTCACGTTATGCATTTTCTCTCAGAATGTGTACCATCCGAGGGGTAGTTGTTCAGTGAGAGGGTGGATGGCTTGGCTTTTTTTCTCCTTTTTTCCCTACCTCACACAAAACCACCCCAGATACATCCCTCCTTTTCCTTAACCACATCCCTGCACCAAGAAAAACCAGACCAAAAATCCATCTTTTTCAGTACCAAGGCAAACCTCAACTCTACCGCACACAACCAGAAAACCACTACGGAGAGCCACAGATAGATAGAGAGAGTAAGAGAGAGAGAGAGAGATACGACAAGTTGGGGGATAACTGATAATAAAGTTAAATATTTTAGGGGTAAGATAACATTGATAAGGTTGAGGAGTGGGTGGGTCTGGTTAATTGTGGGGGAGGGGTTAATAGGAAATTTAGTTAGTTAAAAAAAAGAAGGAGAAAGTTGGGAAGGAGAAAGTTGAGATTTTGTCAGAGGCAAGTTGAGATTTGGAGAGGATTCGTTATTTTATGGAATTTCGTTGTAATAAAATAAGAGTGACTTTATTAAGGAAAAGATTGACGTAAGGTTTTGAAAATTGAGCAAAATTACTTAAAATCTGGATTTTACTGTGAAAATAAAATAAATCACGGGAAATCGTGAGGCAGTTTGATATTTTTTGTGACACTGGTAACGAGGCAAATTGAGACAGTGAAGTTTATTCAGACTTTGGATAACATTTCAAAAATGTGATTTCGTAATTTTGCATAAGTTTTAATCTACTCTGGCTACAGAAATGGAAATTATCTGAAGTTAACATAGTTTGAAAAATATATTTAAAAAAATGGTTGGCGTTGGAGCTACTGCATTTTTTCCGTTTCCGTTACCACCGGTAAGTACTTTTACTTAAAACTAGACACGAATTTATTAAAATTGTAGTAATTTTCTTGCGTGATTCCATATTTGAAACACTGATTTTATCAATGCAACCTCTACTCTAAAAACTTATCTTACTATCAAGTATTCAATAATAAAAAAATACATTACAAAAATTATAAAAGTACAAAAGTCCTTACATTAAACGTTTTTCGTGTTTATTTTTCCATTCTTAATATCACCAATTTTCCACCAATTAAAAAAAATAAAAATTAATTGCAAAACATATAAATGTAGTAACAAACCGCCGCAATTAATTATTTTCAACTACCCAATATATATGTATGTTTAAAGATCAATATGTAAAGCGGCGTATGTGTTTTTTATTCGTATTTTAACACTGATATTCTTCATACGTTACGAAACACCAAATTTTATTTTTTACAGCAGTTTACAATTATTACAAACATTTCACATTATTATTCAAAAATATATTCAACATATCTAAAAAACAAGAAATATTATTCAAATATACAAACTTTTTTTTCACCCCGGTGAACAAGTAGCTCAATAAATTTGGGAATAAATGAACCATTTACTTACACTCATTCAACCGAATGCCACCCGGTTGTCGGTCTTTTCTTTCCTCTTTTGTGTGTGTGATCCGAATCCGGGTATTTGAAGTTGTGACGAGGGAGGGTGAATTTAACAATACAATGGAATATTGTAATATATTAGGGGAAAAGTGAGGGGGTACACACTTCATCAGCACCCGGGTTAAATAATAATATTGCATACAATGCACAGTCCGTCATCGAATTTAACAAAGATGAGGAATAAAATTCGATACGGTTTTCAATCTACTGTTAGTAAAAAATATTAGTATCAATTTAAATTTTGATGAAATGGAGTAACGCCAATATTGAATTTTTAAGGTAGATCTACTCTTTAGTAATTGTCAGATGATTGTTGGAGTTTCCAGTGTATTCTGAAAATGCTATAAAAATATAGGTTAGATTAATATGTATTTGGTGAAAATGTGAATAGCAGGGGGGAGTGGGGTGTACCCGGATTAAATAATATTAAGATTAAATAATCTGTCACAAAATTTTATGAAGAATAGGAATTCGATGAGCTTTTCAAAATTTGAGCGTTGTTTATAAAACAAATATTATAAATTGGTACCTCAATTTTTCTGAAATGAGATCACAGCAATATTGAAATTTTAAGATAACACCACAAAAAAAGCACTTAAAATATAGTTTAATGTGTTTTAACTCATTCTGGGAAATTTCATAAACCAAGATTTTAAAAATAAAGATCCATCCTTAATTATTTCTTACCTTCACAACAATTTCAATCAATTTTCTCTACCCCCACACCATTTATCCACTATTTTTAAGCATAACTACTAATATTTCAAACCAGCCCTAATATTTGTAACCCTGCCCTGGATTTTTACACATATTTTTATTTCTTTATCCCGTCTCATATTTACATCCATTTCCCCATAACAAACTACTTTCGCCTACTTTCTAAATCCTGACTTGTTCCACATTTCCCTTTTTCCTTACACGAAAGAAATACATCCCCTCGTAACTAGCAAAGAGAGGGAAAGACCTAGTAAAAAAATACGTTACAAATGATCCCACTCCACATTTGGGACGACGTATGTATATTTAGGGGAGAAAAATAGAGGGTGGAATAATGTCGGGGTTAAGTGTTTATGTATATATGGGGTTAATCCAGTACGGCTTGTTTTCTAGCTTCTTCTTTTTTAGAGATATTTACATCTTGACAAGTTTACCCTAAAATTCAAAAAGTGCCAACAAACTAGTAATTATTTTGTGTCACTTTTCCCCTTAATTTGGTCGTAAGGTTATGACTTAATGTTTCTGCAAGACTTCTGAGTAAGAAACGGACAAGATAAATTATAAATAAGTAAAATAACTAATTCCAACTTTTTCCATCGGATTGGTCGCCAGATTGCGAAAATTTTGTATCTGATTATACGATTTGCAGCTATCTACGAAAAAGCCTTCATACCTTGCTTTTAGATTTATATTACAAAATTCTCAATTTTTAATAGCAACTTCGATGTTTCGCAGCTTTATTTTGATCGTTATAAAAAAAATAATTGTATACATCCTAAATTTTATAACCTCAATAAATTTATCATGCCTTTGGCATTTTGCAGCTTCAATTTTTTTCCATGCTACATACATACGTTATAAATATATTTACTTTAAATTCCAGTTGATGACGGAACGACTCCTCAATGAAATGATAACGGAAGCCCCTGGGGGAGAAATGGTACGAACGGGGGCCCCAAACTTAATCTGTACCGTACTCCCGTCTCATTGGAGGTCCAATAAAACATTGCCAATCGCATTTAAGGTTAGTATTTCAACTTTCTCTCAATTTCCTAGAAAAAAACAATAAATATTTATATTTCACAAAAAAAAATCAGCAAAAATAAGTTGTACTTTCACCAAAAATTTTGTTTGATCAAAACACATGATAATTATATACAAAACATAAAAAAATCAAAAATTCCTAAACCTTCATTTACACTTTCACCGACTTTCTCCAAAATTTTAAAACAAATTTAGTAAAAACTTTCTCTATTTTTTTTCACAGGTAATTTGTCTCAACGACGTCATGGACGGCACTCTGGTCACCGTTCGGGCCGGAAATGATGAAAATTTTTGTGGCGAATTACGCAATGCGACGGCCATAATGAAAAATCAGATCGCCAAATTTAACGATCTCCGCTTCGTGGGAAGATCTGGTCGTGGTAAGTGTAAGTAAAAGGCTTTTGCTTACTTTTTTCGAGAAATGTTTCTTATCAAAAAATTTACGCAAGAATAGTTTTATAATTTGGAATTATTTTATTTACAAAATTCACGTAATCTTTTATATAACTCCATAACCTCAGAAAACAATGAAAAATACAATCCTTATTTTCATAATTTTCGTAAGTTTATAAATAAAAATTACCTTAGAAATGTTCGTAAGTTTTGTAAAAGTTTACGCGGTTACGGAATTACAAAGAGAAACTTGAATTGCCTCATTGATATTTTTTGAAAAATTAATAGTTTACAATTTTAACTCAAATTTGCCCCATTTTTTGTCTCGCTTTCTCCCCACAGGGAAAAGTTTTTCTCTTACGATCACCGTTGGCTCGTCCCCTGCACAAGTCACTACATACAATAAAGCGATAAAAGTCACCGTAGATGGACCACGTGAACCGAGATCCAAATCCCGTAAGTAATTAATGCTTTAGTAAGATATATATTTTTTTAATTGGTAGCATCATACATTAAAATTTGCACAATTTTAACAATCTAAAAAAAACTTGCCCTTACGACTACGGATTTATACTTATTTACCACAATATATCAATTTATTCCTTAAAAATATTCAGAAATTGAACTTAAAATAAATTTCTCCAAAAAATCACTCCATTAATCAAAATCAAATTTCCCCCCATAATTAAAAAAAATCTTACACATTTAATCCCAATAACATACTTCCCCCCCTCATAACAATTCTCCTTAATTGATTCATCCTCCACAATTTCCACCCTATAAAAAAATTCTCAAAAAAAATCTCACAATTTCCCAATCTCACTCAATACACACCTATATATTCCATCCCATTTTATTCATCTCTCTCTCTCTCTCTCAAATCCAATCCTTGTCTGGGCTCAATTCTCTCAACTTATTTTATTTTATGAGCCACGAGCCGACCGTAAAAGTGATGGCAAACTACTACACAGCCAGCCCAAAAACAGGGTGGTTGGTTAGGTTTTGGATAACCAAACCTTTTCCCACCACAGTAGTCAACCTCATAAACCAAAACCTTAAACCGAAACCCTCCATGAAAACAAAACCCATAATATACGACACAAATCAGGGGCACGCCAAAAAACTTTAAGAAGTTATACATACATATATGAAGAGAAAAAGAAATAATAAAAAAATAAATGTATATCGCTCCCAACCAAGCAGTTTAGACGGTACACATATAATCCAAGTGTCTCAAGTAGTTAACTGATTTCATTCAGAATTCTATTGACAGTTCGGTTTTTACGAGGCTTCTTTTTTTCTTTTGGGGGCACTTTCTTTATAACGTTGGGAGACCACTTTTCCCCCAAAAAATGTGTTGTTACAGTAACTTCATGACTTTTCGGGTTGCCGCAATAAAATAGAGTCATGACCGTTTTACTAAAGTAAAGTATTGGTTTAGTAAAAAAATATTGGATTAAATTGTAACTAAAAAATGCCACATTATGTAGAAAGGTATTGAAGTAGATTTATATTTAAAAAATTTCAAAAAATTGTAAGGTTTAAACGTCTACGAAATAAAAATAGGATCTTTTTCTAATTAATTTAGTTATAATACAGATCGTTTACATTAAGTTCTATTTAATATAATTTTCAATCAGACAAATTTCTTACTTTATTTTCTTACAAGTTTATTTTATCCCCCTTCCCCCCTCCTTAAGCAGTAACTATGAATACTTTGGTCTAGTAATAATATTTATTTACGAGAAAACTAAACAAGTCAAGAAAGTCAAGAGTTGACGAATTCTATGTGAGTAAATATAAAGTCAGTCAACCATTCATTCATCTCCGTCAAGGAGGACAAATAAGTTGACATGTTACCGAGTTAAGGTTAACAATTGGCCTCTCTGTCTGATTTTCTGGAGTTTATGACCATGCCATAAAATCTGTGATGTTTATATGCTCCCATGTCGTGTCGTCGTCATATTTTTAGGAAACTTGGCTTTTGTTCAGTTTTCTGTTACGAAATATATACGGAAACTGTATGGTCATTTGTCAGTGGCACGTCACATGTCAATCTGCGTCTCGGGAAGAAAAAGGTCGACACTATTTATTTTATGTAGTGTAGATGCATGCCCCTTGTTATTAAGTTGTTGAGGAAGAAGTTCCACTAGAGATGGAGAGAAAACACTTAGTTGGAATGGTGATGAGAGAAATTGATTAGTTGCAAGAAATATATAAAAAAAAGTTGCAATTGTTAAGAGAGAAATATTAATTGTAGGAAATATTTTTTGGAATCAATTTTACGTAATGTGGTAAATTTTGCAAATTACAGAGTTAAATGGGTTTATCCAATTTGAGAAATTTGTCAACTTTTTGTTAAACAAATAAGTTTAATTACAATATACTGTAATTAATGGTTTCACATGATTTTACGGATTGTCAATTTTTCTTCTAATAAACTTAAATTTGGGGCGAGAAAGCATTAATTCCTTCAGACTGCTTTGTAGGTCATGGTGGACCATTTCCTCCGTTCGGTTTTGGTCCGAGACCACTCCTCCCGCCGAACTTTCAAATGGACCCGATGCGACCGCATGACTCCTTCAAACTTCCACTGGGTAAGTTAAATATTTTATTGTTTAGAATTTTTAGAAACAAATCTTAATCTATAATTAACGCTCGACTAATCTTGGAAATATTTTAAGACATATGTATAGTATATAATTTCCAATTCTGACTTCTTAATAGAGCATTAATTAATTAAAATATTAAAATATTTTAAATATATTTTTGCTCAAATATATTTTTTATATCATTCAATATTTTAAATGTTGACTAAACCACTAGTTTGAACTAATACATTACCAACAAGGGTTAAGAATTTTGTTCTTAATATCAAAACGAATTTGGTACTAAAGCTTAGGAACGCGTAGAATCTACTGGAATTGTATTCCATATTTTATATTAAAAACATTTCGCCAATATTAATTTGGGTATATGATAACACAAAAAATTCGAAACAATGCTACATCCACTAAATAAATTTGGTATCATTTTTTGAATCATCACTACTTGAAAATTATACATTATTTTTGCGTATATTTTACTTATGACAAAATAAAATAATAAAATTTCATATTTTTACAAAATTTTACATTATCAACCATACTTGAAAATGAAAAATCTTTTTGGATATATCCTATAATTTTGTTAAAATTTTTCTTAATGGATGGTTAGTCTTTCAATATTTTGGAAAATATTTGAGATGCCCCTTTAAACATTAATTTTTTCCAGACCGATGTATTGTTTTGTAATTTAATATATGTCCGTTTTGGCTCAATAATGCCAAACAGAGGTACGGACAGACACGACGATTCTACATGCCCTGACTAATTATTGAAAAATGCCACACCATACATAAACACTAAATTTTCCATTATTAATAGTTTACCCTACAGTAACTTTTTGATTTAATACAAGATTTTACAATCCGAATGCGATAAAAATATACAATTAAAATAAAATGGTTTGATTAAATGTAGGAATTTTACTGCGTCGTATTAACACACTATTTAACATATATTTAAAATTATTACTTTAACGCATCAATAGCCTTCCGACCATAAAACGTTTAAGATAATGTGCATAAAAATTTTTACATTTTTTAATATTCCAAGATAATTCTCTTTATTTAATCCTTGTATTTTAAACGTATCCTTAAATTTTAATTATTAATTTGTTCACTGACCGAATAAATCTAACAAACATATTTAATAGCTTCAAACACTAAGATTCTCATTGCGACTTCACAGTATACCATTTACTGTCGTAAAAAAATATGTACATTTCTTATAACCTTTACATTATTCACAGCCTATTTAATTTTATCAAAATTATAATCTATTTACTATTGCCGTCGTTTTTTGAGATTATCGAAATTTATTAAATTATTTTAACAACAAAATTCTATACGGTGAAAAGAGACTTAAATTTAGCAGAAGGACAAGTCATCTAGTATCTATTAAGAGTAATAATTACCCGTAATTTTTCAGTATTAACGTTGAAAATAAACAACAACACGACTAAATGCAATTTAACTGAAAATGAAAAATAAAAATAAAGCATCTTTAATTTCAATTATTTAATAACCTTACAATTTTAGAAAATATTACACAAAATTTAATCAATCTAGCGTAGAATAAAAATAAATAGAAAAACACAAAATGTTGTCTTCAAGACTTCAAGTTTCGCAATAGTGTTCCAATAAGGACTCTGTTTTAAGAAATTAATCTATATTTCCCACTAAGTCTAGCATGATACAATATTTAGCGTTATAAAAACCTTCGTAAACTTTACCACGCTAAATTCATTAATATTCGGACACTAAACTTAATTTTAAATAATACCACATACCAACCTTCCCATAAAATGGGATTATTTATAAATATAAAATTTTATTTATTGATTCCTATCTTTACCAAACATTTTACACCAGAAACAAAATTATGCAGCATTCTATCCCAAGCTATAAGTTTTTCTTACCCAAAATAAATTTCACCATTAGACCATCCACCATCCCTAAATAAATTATTAATCGTTCCATTCCAAAATTCGCAATATTATTATACATTGCATTTCACACCACAATTTACAATCACCAAATAAAAATTGTAGACAAGTTTAAACTTCGGCAAATAACATCAATCTAAAATTCTAAGAAAAATTTTAGACAAAAGACCGGAAAGGCCACCACACGGAGTGACAGGATCACATCTCGTCAGCCAACACAAGCACGCTGGTTGCCTAAACATAAAAGAATCCAAAACTCTTTAAAACCACTCATGATTCGTTCGCTAACTCAACTAAGTTAGAAATCTGACTTGAAGGGGAGGTGCAGAAAGGACGCGGTGAAAAAATAAGGGGCAGAATTAAATTTAACACCAATTATAAACGATTTTGTCGTAAATAATTTTAAATCAAAGTATTACCTGTTTTTGCACTACATATTTTCTTATAAAACTATAAATAATTCAATCCAACTTTAAATTGCTTCATTAACCTCAATTACCTAAAATTGAATTCATAAATGATTCAGCCTTCAAATAATTTTGTTCAACGTTACACTCTAACAAAAATTGTGTCTAATTAATAAACTCAATTATTTTTAAAAAAACTTGTAAATTTTTTACAAAATAAAATTTCTCAGAGCTGCCTTCTGGAATCTAATAATACTGTTGGCTGCTTAGCTAAAAATATAAAAAATACTACATACTTCTAGAGAAATAATCATTTGTTTTTAAATTTTACACATATGTATCTTGGTCAAAAACCAACTACAAATTCAAATTTAAATCAGTTCGAATTTTTTTTCTAACTTTACCCCCATCTCAAAAAAACCCACATCCTTTATGCACCCACCTTCCAAGAAAAACTCCATTTTTATCCCCTAAACAAAGTAAATATCAGAGCAAAAAGTATGAAAAGAAGGAATAATGTTTCGACATGGAAAATTAAACCGAGATTTGAATCGCATTTCATTCATTTGACAAAGGTGACACTTTCCTCACTTACTTTACCAATAAGACCGTACCGTAACTTGAGTTAGACCACCTGCTTGATTCGGTTCGTGGCATGGGATACATGAATCAGACAGAAATAAAGCGTGCCAAATAGTTACTTAGTTTTGGACATGAAACGCTTAAATTTTTTGTACCGTTTCTTTAATCGGAGCGGATGAAAAAATAAAATAAAAATAAACGGAATAATTTTGGTTGAAAATTTGTCTTCAAATTATTACTAGAAGAGTACACTGAACTGAAGATAACTGATTTGATTACGAATAGACATTTATGATCTTTTTATTATTAAAAATTACGTAATATTGCCGCCATTCCAGGTAAATATGGGGAAACTTATTTTATAAGAATATTGACAGATTTCAATAACGTAGATAGGGTAAAGAGAAAATCAACCACTTACGGGGTTGATCAGTCGGGGGAGGGCTAAAACAATTATCTGGGAATCTGATTTTTTTTGTAGATTATTCCAAATATATCCATCTCTTTATCCTGAAAATTTCATAAATTTCCAATGGAAAACAAATTTCCTACGAGAATTGAAAGCGATGAACTCGCGAAACCGGTTATGCATAAGTACAAAAATGTCATCAACAACCACGCAAGGAAAACCTAACGACATTTTAAGGAAAAGGGGTGTGTCCGCACAAAAATCAACACATACATAAAAAAGTATGGGGAACCCGGAAATGTTACCATGAAATAATTACGTGGTCGAAAAACCACCTTAAGGACCTCTCCAAAGTTAAAATCGATTGAAAATTATTTTGTAAATTATTCATCCACGTATTTGTCCGTAGAGACCAAGAAATTAAAAATAAATGTAAACTATTTGCAAAAAATGAAAGCTCATAAATTAGGGATTAAATCATATACAAAAAAATTCGCAGCAAAACCTACCCAATTTCAAGAAAAACCCGTAACCGCAAGACTGCGCAAGCTCTGCAACAAAATCTTGCGAAAACTTTTGATCAACGGCGACGATTCCTTTGTCTTTCAAAACCCGACAAAAACCCTGTGAAGGTTATTTTTACATGCAAAAGGCCCTTTTGAAGTGTAAACGGAAGACAAAAAAAGTTGGTCTTCAAAATTTCCGAAGAAATATCTGGTTTGACAGGCACTGGATCAATTTGGCAATGTTTCGGAGCCTTATCTTCACGAGCGGTGTGTGAACACAGAAATTTATTTTGAGGAATGTGTGATAGGCTGTCTGATTCCCATCAATATGGAGCATCATAAAATATAAAATGTAGTTTTTTAACTAGACCTTGCCATGATCCACAATGCAAGAACTGCGCAGGAAAAAATCGAAAAAAAATCAGTTTGGTGTTGTAAAATGAAACCCCCATAAAAGTCCCTCATATTTGCCCAATAGAAATGTTTTTGGCTTAATACAAGAAGAAATACTCCCAGCTTCACAATAACGTTGATACTTTAAGAAAATTTCGGAGCAGATGGAAGAAAATTAGCAGCAAAGTTGGAAAGTCTTCAGGGAAAGCACAAATGAAACATGTGAAGCAAAACAATAAATACGAAGTGGACAGTTGGTTAAAGTCTTCTTTCTGCGCGGATATCTAATGCTAGATATATTTGTAATGTTATATAAAAATTTGGGATTTTAAATATCATTTTTTCTTAATTTTTAGGTCAAATTTCCCCATAAGTGGTTGTTCTTCTCTTTACCTGTTACCTTTCAGTATAAGTATTTTGCAAATTTGCCAGTTTAAAAATACTAAATATTTTTCTTACCTTTTTAATAACCATATTTGGAAAATATTTAAAATTGCAACTAAATATTTCCTTAAAAAAAATTCCAAACTTTCTCATTTCTCACTTTTCAGGTCTAAGTCCGCACGATTGGCCGCTAGCCCTTCGCGCCGCCGCCGCCGCAAGTGGGGGTGGCGGCCCCCCTGGGGGCAACGGATCTGGCGGATATCCATCCTACCTCCAATCCTTAGCGGCACACCATCACCACCACAATCAACACCAGAACCACACCCAACACGGAAGTAACGGACCACCCAATTCGTCTCTCACGTCACCCCTTTTACCCCAATCCCCGCCTCAGTCTCAATCTTCGTCTCACGATCCCCTGTTGTCTTCCGTGGCTATGTTGAGTAGTGGAAGCGGCACCACGACAACGCCAAGTTCCGGTGGGGGCGGAAGTAGTGGGGGAAGTAGTGGGGGGAGCAATATCTTGGCGGCACTTTCAAATAATAACAACAATAATAATGGACCAAGCAGTAAGAGGTCACCGCCGTTAGTGAAGATTAGTCCGTTACACTTACACAGTAAAGGGGGAAGTAAGGGGGGACTGGGAAGGGATGAAGTGTCAAGGTCGCCGAGACCAACTAGTCAGCAGAGTTCGGGACAGGTCGGATTTCGTCCAACAGGTCGGTGGAAATTTATATTTGGGAGAATTCCTATTTTAGGAATATGCATGGGGACAAAATCTACAAAATTTTTATAGTTTTTGCACACACGTTTATCAAATTTTCTTGTTAAATTATATAGTAATCTTAGAAATCTTTGCAAAAAAATTGCAGAAATTTAGATTTTTAAAATATAACATCTTTCTTGAAATTCATGGAAATTTTGTATGCAAAATTTTTCACCAAATTTATAAGCCACCGCAATTATTATACATACGTTAAATTAAGTAAATTCTACTATCCAAAAATCACTTAATAATTCCTTCCTCTCCCCTTTTCAGGTGCAGCCCTCTCGTCCTCCACCGACTCTCTCATGTCGAACTTTGATCTCGCCAACAAACACCACCACCCCGGAAACGCGCTCTCTTTAAATCTTCCCTGGCCCGGTTTTCCCCTCGGAAACAGTGGAATCCCTGGTTCCGGAATTCCAGTCTCCAACACTAGCGGATTACCCCTCTTGCCCCACCCCCTTCTTTACTCCCACCTCTGCAACAATGCCTGGATGTCGTCCGAAATTCATAACGTCATGACCAAACTTCAACTCCAACATCAACACCACCAACTCCAACTGCAAGCCCAACAAGGTCAAAGTTTAGGTCAATCTCGTGCCCTGAGTAGTTCTGGCGGAACGACGAATAGCCGATCACCGTCGCCATCGTCACTTTCCTCCGAGATCAAAATTTCCGTTGGTAGCCCTAAATCGAGCCACAGTCTCATTCTGCCCCCATCCCCGCCACCGCAGGGTATCACGATTTCAGCCATTTTGGGCACCGCGGATGGACGAAAACGACGACATAGCAACCATTTAATTACACCGAGCAGTAGGTCAAAGTCGAGATCAATTTCACCAACTAGGTCGAGATCAAGGTCACGGTCACGGTCAAGGTCAAGGTCAAGGTCACGCAGTAGATCGAGGAGTCGGTCGCAAAGCAAGAGTCCGACAATTATACCCGGTGCGAGTTTCGGAAGATGCAGATCTACGGCTTTTTCCTTGAAGATCGCCATCAGATTCCCGTGACACAATTCTTTCTCGGCGAGTAAATTCGGGTTGAAGTACCGAAGCAGCGGTCACATTTGCGATTCCAACAAGCGCCGAAGTCGCAGTTGGTGGAAAAGCGGAAGAACTTCGCGACACGAGAGCAGATTGATTTCCATGACGAGATGGACGCTCGTTAACTACTTGGACCGTATTCAGGGCCGATCTTGGTCTATCCTCTTGGCGTCCGCGTCCAACCCTTTTTGGGCTCTGGTTAAAATCTTCGAGCTCAAAATCCTTATCCATTTTGAAGCCGAGCCGAGTAAATGAAATGAAATGATGCTGGTGAAAGTTTGGTGTGAAGAAAGAAAGTCTTGAAATTATAATTTATTCACAATACGCTAATCTTTTAGTTGTGATAATCTGAATTCTCGAAGAAAGTGGCTTTCACGAGGTGAAAAAATTGAGAACAAGTGGATGAGAAATGCAGTTTGCGAATGAACGATTTCATGCATTGGGCATATTTACCCCTTTGAAATCAATAAATAAATGATATCATTTGTCCGATTTATGCATATAAGTGCATCACTTGGTGTACTAATATCCAGTTTGACCAATCGTATGCAAAAATATTGCAAGTGTGCATAGTGACTCAAGGTACGTGGAGAATATTTAATTAGGCAGGACAAATAACGAGGCGACCCGTGCGGTTTTAGTCGCGTGTAAAAAATAGTGTAGGGGAAGTGTGACCGATACATATATACATTAAAAAATATCCTTAATTACGATGCAAGCGCAAGGAACAAATTGACCCGATCCTCCTTTTGTTGTGCAGTTCAACTCCACGCTTCGTGTATGCAAATAAACTCAAAAACTGTTTAGAGTTTATTTCATATTTTATAAACTGTAAGAAAAATTGGAAAAAAAGAATTGGCAAAACGATTGCATTCTTTTAAAATGACGCATATATGACAATTATCTATTTTTGACCTAAATACTCCTCGTTTTCAACTTTCCATGAACCCAAAAGAGCTTCGGGGCGAGCACGTCGACGTCAAAACAAGGCGTCCAGGCACGACGTCCAAGGATATTTAATTTGGCTTACTCGGCTAACATAGTTCTTGGACGTCGCGCCTGGGCGCCTTTTTTTCACGACGACGTGCTAGCCCCGAAGCTCTTTTGGGTTCATGGAAAGTTGAAAACGAGGAGTACCTTTGACATTTACATATGTATGTGTAATAACGGTTTTTGGATCTCATTTATTTGTAATGCTTGCAAATTATGAAAATATGTGTGTACATGTTTTCATAATTTGCTCAAGCTATATAGCTAGAGTCAGTTATTTAGGAGATAGTTGTATCTGTATGCAAGATACATTTTTCAAAAAGCGGAGATAGACGTTGCCCTTAAATATTTCGACCAATTTCAATCATATGTAGTACAAACTGCCTCAAGTTGCATTGACTTAGACCACATAATTTTATAATTCCAGTCAAATCGGAGGGTTACACTTCACATTATCGCATTGTTAGTGAGATTTTATTATAAAGAGTTTACACTTTTCATTTTAATCTGAGAAGACTGAGGACAAGAAAAGAAATAGTTTTATGAAGGAAATTACGTTGGAGCGAGGTGAATGTTTATGTAAACCAACATATTTATCTCCATGACAGAATATGGTTTATGTTGCACGGAGGGTGAAAAGTTGTGAGACAGGCTGGCAGCATGGAACATCAGATCGAGCCAACAGAAGACTTATTTCCGGTTTGGATTGGACTAACACTAACTTTCTCCGCATGTTAAAGTACTCGTTTTCCCTGTTGTTTTCTGCAGCACGTGTCATGTCCTCCCACACTTACAATTCACACTTTTGCTACACCAATACAATCCAAGTTCTTGAAAACTGGACATACATTATACATGCGTAGATAATTTATCATGTTTTTATACTACATTCTTCACTCAATAATTTCATGAACAATTATTGTTCATGAAATTGTTCTCCTCAGGACAGACATACTGTATTTCTCATCACAACCCATTTAGCAAACTTATGAAACTAATAAAATTTGTGCTGAGAGGGGCTTCGCAAAATAAAATTACGCAAATTTAGAAACTTCATATAAACATTAGGTATTACCCAAAATGGCCATGTTGGGTAAGTATTTATAAAAAATAGGTAGAGATCTTTTCCCAATTTCAGTTTCTTCGAAGGAATTCATATCGCTATATCCGTTCTGATCAACCATTCGGAGCTGTTGATCTCGACCGAAATCTAGATCCGCTTGAGATGACATGCTGTCAAGAGATGTTATCGTGGGTCTAGTTTCAGAAGACGCGGACCTGCGACTTTCTCTCTTGTGATCACCATCAGATTCCAGTGCGGATGATGACACAACTGTTTCACTCGACGAGTGAATTCTGGTTCAAGTAGCGATGCCGCAGTCACATTTGCGACGCATGAAAAGTTTCGAAATTTTGCAGGTGAAAGTTTGGTGAAGAAAGAAAGCCTTGAAATTATGATTTATTTCTAACACGATAATCTTAGTGTTGTGACAAATTTAATGTGTGAAGAAAGTGGCTTTCACCGGTGACAAAATTATAAGACCAAGCGACTGAGAAGTGCAGTTACGACTGATCGATTACATATTTACTTTCTTGAAATCAATGATATCATGTCCGACTGATGAGTTGTATCACTTGGTTTTAATATCCATTTTAACCAATCGTATATGCAAAAAGGGTGCACGTATGTTTTATAATTTAGGCTCGACGAATTACGAGGCGACAACGGTTTCAGTACCGCGTAAAAAGTGATGTAGGGCTAGGAGGAGTGTGACCGATACATACACTCTAAATAAAATCATTACCAAATCATTACCAAAATGCACATGTATATGACTGCAGAAACTGTAATCATAACCACCAGCTGGTAAAGAAATTGATTGAACCCGAAGTGGTAATAAAGAACACTTTTCGGGATAAAATTAATACCGTGATGTATGACAGATCTACTACAATATGTAGTAAAATGTCTACCGCCTGATAATTAATCATACCACTTTGTATCATATATCATGTATCACAAATCTATAGATATGTACATTTAAGTAACAAAGACCCTTAATAAACGCGATAAACAAATTTATCCGATTCTCCTTTCTTGTGCTTAACATGTATTTAAATAACTATCCAATTCTTACACACATATTTGTATGTAAGAATTGCTGGTACATTTGTATAAGGAATATGTAACAAGTTCTTTATCCATTAGTTATATGGATAAAGAAGAAGATAAAGAAGAAGAGTGGCTCAAGCTTGCATGTATTTACAAAGCTTCGTAAGCATGGAAGTGTCGTAAATTTACAAAGTTTACTAAGGTGACGTGAGAACAATCAACTTCAGTATTCAGCGCTTAGATACGCATATATGTACATGACTATTTTTTTTCGGCTGGGACCCCTTTTGGACTTTATTTTTTAATTTGAATGAAACCTCGAAAATCGTGTTCAGCATAATTGAATTAGTGGGTTTAGACCAATTTTGGGTCTCAAAAAATTTTTATTTGGCGCAAATGGACGATAGTTAATCCGTAAAGTGGGTTGACATCTCCCGGTTTTCTGAGATAACCACTGGACCGATTTTGTCCAAATGGGGCTTAAAATGATCACAAATACTTCCTCTTGAGTGGTCCGGGAGATGGTACTGATCCGTGACCTCGATGACCTAATTTTGACCTTTTTGTATTTGTTACAAATCTTCTCAAAATCCTATATAACTATGAGCTTCAGGTTTAAACAAATTGTTTTATTCAAAATGCATACATATATCACCTGTTTAGTGCGAGCAGCAGCGTGTGTGGCATCCTTATGTGAATTTTTTATGAATTACACATTTGGTACCCAGCATCACAAATATTAAGGGAACTTAACTATGATTGTGAACCAAGTTTAAAATATTTTGAAACACTAACAAAATGCCACCCGCCAAAGATAAGTGCGACGACCCTTTTTGTCTTCACAAAAAGTGTTGTAAAAACAGTGAAGAAAATTTCTTCTCAAATTCTCAGTGAAAATCGACAAAACTTTTTTCGTATTGTTTGGGGAGAAAACACTCTTCTATGTACAACATGTCGGACGATGAGCGTCCTAAAGCCGTGCAATGCATTCTTGGGAAGATGAATTAGTAGCGTTTGTCCAACAACGAGGAGCAGGTACTAAAGGTGGAGTAACTGATCATTTGTGTTATGCTAATATCTAATTTTTCTGTCCTTAGATGAATTCAGCTATTGCTGAGAAATATAACTTCGTAGCTTAACACCTTTTTAACATTCAATAATTCTTGATTAAGTTAGCTTTAATATATAGACAAAATATGTGGCACCTCCCCTCGACGCAATAAGAGCATAAATAGGCCGTGGAATTGATTTGACAAGTTTCTTGATAACGCTTTTCTATATGGCTGCCAAAACTTATTCCGAACTTTTGACAAGGTCGTTTTTCGACGAGTGGTTTCCCATCAGTCCCTCTTTTCTCAACCCGGACAATCAGAATCACATCGGGAGACTGTGCGGCCAACGAAAGAAGCTTAATATTTTCAGTCTCCAAAAACTTGCACCGTTAAGTTGGCTACATGTTTGGGGTCACTGCATTTTTGGAATATGAAATTCCTTCCTAGTCAGGTTTTTGTCAAATGATTTCAAATTATGGTTTGTAATGATTAATAAGACCTCCCTGGTCATGCTTTTGTCGATAATGACCGGGTAACTACGCCGCGACCTAGTCATTTAACCATAAACCACAATCGATCCTACGTTGTGTTTAACTGTCATATGCACATATTCGTTTTTGTGAGCCTTTTATGGCATCCGCCAGACTTGGACCATTCAATTGGCTCCGAATAACTAATACTGGCCTATGTCGAAGTAGCAGACCGTTCTTTACTCAATGAACGTCTATTTAGGGTGATATTTACCCCATTCCAATTTATTGAGCTTCTTCGTTTTGAGGACCCTCGCGTTTGTCGGGCAAATGGACCCTAAAACCCCAACGCATGATTTTTTATTGATCACCACATTGTATGATCTGTTGACCCCACAGTTCGTACTCAAATTCAATATGATTTTGGAGGTTGAATTATTCCGATCTCGAGTGATAATTTGCTTGATTAATCCGTTGATTTTAGGATTAGGCGGCTTTTTTAGCCGGATCATGAAAAAGCAGGAACTAAAATGATTGCTTCATGTTCTTTGGCTACATTTCGAATAGTAAATATCACGGAGCATGTTTCCTGTCTGAGTTTTTGATATCCAAGCTTGTTTGAGAAGGAGGCAAGATTATTTCTAACTCCGAAAAAAATAGCTCGTTTGGTGTCGCAATTTTGGCTGTAGACAATACCAATCTGGACTTACGAAGCAGATAAAGTTATATTTTGTGATCTGATTAACTTACCGTGACAAAAGGCAGAGGTTTAT